GGAAAGAGAAGCCGTGGATCATGTCCCATGGTGCAGGAGGTTAAACAGGAAAGGTTTAAGTGTGTAATTAACTTTGAAGCGAGAGCAGCGTAGACTCTGCGGATGAAAGCACGCGGGGTGGGCTGTGGGCAGGCGGCCACGTTCCTCGGTGGCCACGGAGAATTAATTAGATGCTGTCCTTTGTACTTGGCTGTTTGGTCTTTCTTTTCCCTCCTCTTTGTGAATCCCCAGTGCCTCCCCGCCAGATTTCCTCCTCTCCATTGCTGTGGAGGGGGGTGCTGGGTGGCAGTGGTGCCCTTCTCCCTGGTGAATCCATTAAGCCACCTCCTTTTCTTTCTTTTAAAGAAAATTTAGTTCATCTGGTGTTTAACCCTTGTGTTGGTGCCCGCRCCTCTGCTCCCTGTGCTCTGCCTGGTGCTGTGGTGGTACCCAGGGGATGCTGTCAGGCTCCCTGATAAACCCCTCAAGCCACCTTTTTTTGCTTTCTTTTAAATAATTTTGTTTGATCTGTTGTTTAACCTCTACACTGGTATTTGTCCCTCTGCTCCCTTCTGCCTGGATCTGTGCAGGTGACAGCAGGACCTGGAGGAGGCTGAGCAGCACTGGAACCCATCTCCCTGGCAAATCCCTCAAACCACCTCGTTTTTCTTTCTTATTTTGAAAATCCTGGTCCATCTGGTRTTAAAGCCTGTGTTGGTGCTCATTGCTGTCTCCCCTCTGCCCAGGAGCGCTGTGATGCTGGGGGTTTTTGTGTAGGGTGTTTAACGGGGTGCATCTTATCCTTGGCATGGCCTGCATGGGGCAGGATCTGTGTTTGGGGAGAYTGAGGCAGCTTTGGGGTGTTCAGGCTGAGTCTGGGACACGTCCCACCCCTGGGGCAGGCCACCAGCTCCCTGCAGTATTTTTAGCTGCTCTCGCCTTGGGATTGCACCTCCCGCGCTCGCTGCCTTCCCCTCCGTGCCCAGAGCTGCTGTCACCCTGGCCTGGAGCCAGCATGGGGAGCTGGGGGCTCCTTGGTTCATTTTTAGGGCACATCCGTACCCAAAAGCAGTCTCACCCAGCTCCCACAGTCCCTGTCCTGCTGCCCTTGGGTTGGAACAACCCTCCCACTGCTGGAGATGGRTATTTTGGGTTGCAGCCTTCCTGCCCTCCTTGCAAATGTTTTGATGAAACATTTTTTTTCAGGTTTCTCCATGTTTCCCCCTTCTGACTTTTCACAGCTGCTGGAGCACTTCCAGCCACCCCCTCAGGAGTTGAGCTGTTGGCATTTAATTGCTCAGGTGTTAATTTTTACACCCTTAATTTTGTGATGGGGAGGGAGAATCTTCTGGAGGTCGAGYTTCTCCCCAGCCCTGTCCTTGGCTGGGCAGAGATGGTGTCATAGGCACCCCATAACTCACAGAAACCRAGGCTCTGTGGAACCCTTTGGATTTTTTCCCTGTGTATACAAATCATGGACAAATTAGTCAGGGAAATGGAGTGGCCAGTGGAACTGCCTTCGTTYTGTGCCGTGGATGGGAGGGAAAGCTCATGTCGGGAAAAGCCGTGGCAATAAACCTGTCCGAGGAGAGAGATGGATCGGCTCAGCCAACTGTGCCTCTGCCAGAACAAGATCTACTCTGTAATTGCCTTTTAAACTTGTGGAGCCTGGGCATGGTCTCGTGGGTGGCTGAGGATCCAGCTGTGGGGTGGTGGAGCCGTGGGGACACTTAGGTGTGGCACTGGTTGGTGGCAGTGGCTGTGCTGGGGGTGGCAGTGGGATTTGGGTGGGGGGCTGCGGTCCAGGAGGAGAAGGGGACATCTCGGACATCTCTCTCGACATTTTCAGTGGCTGGGAATAGTTTATTGGGGGTGAAGGAATCATTTTTCCCTGAGAAATGGGGCTCTGCCAGCCTGAAATGCTGTTTGTCTCTGCTCTGATTTCTCAGGCCAGAAAAAAATCCCCCAAGAACAAATTTCTGCCTCCCAGAATATCCCTCTTAGCAGATCTTGGAAAGAAACACTTGGGCTTTTTTTCTTTTAAATCACTTGGCACTTAGTCTCTGACACTGTTTTATTTTGAAATTTATTTTATTTTCCTTCCTTCCTGGAAAATTTTGACAGATTTGTGCTTTTCCTCCTGTTAGAAAGTGCAGCCAAGTTCCAGACTCTAAAATCTGACACGTCTCGTGGTGAGAGCTGAGGAGCAGGGGCTGCGGTGCGGGGGCACATCCGCACGTGGGCTGGGCAGACACTCCATTTCGGGAAGGGTTTTAAGAAAGCTGTGATGTCTCAGTGCCTCCAGACATATGAATAGGAGAGAATTTGCTTTCAGTTTTTTTAAAAAGAAGTTTCTTACAGCTCTGAGAGGAAAAAACAGTTGGTGATGGAGCTGGAATGTGCCCTCGTGCTTTAAAAAATGAGTGCAAAGGGGCAAAAAAGCCACAAATATCTTCTCATATTTGAAAGAGCTGGGAATTGAAATTTCTTGAGCATCTTACGGGCTTTTTTCCCAGTGTTTGGACTCGTGTTTGACTCAGTGTTGCATCCAGGCGTCCCTGAGCACCGGGGGAAGCGCAACCCGTGCTGGCAGCGAGGCCATTAACTGCCAAATCCCCGGGTGGCGGGGGGAGTTACTGATRTAATTTGGGATAAAATAGGAAAAAAACAGCAGCAATAATCCCTTGGCCCAGCTCTGTTTTCCTGCCGGCCCATTAGGGGATATTTGCCTTTGTTCATTCCGCTTGCTCAGGGCTTCCCGGGGCCCCTCGTCAGCCCGGCCCCGTTAATTAGCGCGGTGCCCTGGTCCCTGTAATCGTGGGTTTAATGAGACAATGGGGCAGTGTGAGCCGCGGGCAAAGCCAGGGCTGGATGGATGTGGGGTGATGGGGGGGCTGGAAAATGGGGGTGATTGGAATGTGGATGATTGGAGGGGGCTGGATGTGGGATGGAGGCTCTCTCTGTGTCACYTCACACAGGAACAAGTGGCTTTTTTGGCATTTGTGCCACTTSTCTGTGCTCAGCCGAGCATGCTGTGGAGCAGGGAGGTGCTGTGTGAACACTCTCGGGCCCCCAGGAGATAAATCTGTAATAAAATATAACCAATAAAAGGACTCACCGGTGCTGGTGGGGCTCAGGGCTGCGTTCAGGGGGGTGAAGGTCCCGGCTCACAATGGCCACGCTCGTGTCAGGCCCCTGAGAGCCCAATCCACAGGGCAGGGTTGGGGTCAGAGCAGGGGATTTCTGTGGCCATTGCAGCTGATGCCTTATCAATCAGGCTAATCTGAAAGGGAGGCCAGACAAACTTAAGAGAATGAGAGTAGACAGCTTTAATACAAGCATAACAGGCCTACTGGTACCTTCAGAGCAGACAAAGCCTCCTCCTGAGGCTGCACCCAAAATGGACACGGGGTCACAAGATCTTCACCTTTTATCAGTTCTGCCTTATTAACATACTGGGTCTTAATTCTCCAAGGATCTTTACAGGTGATTATGTTAACCACCCTAAACTTGCTCGCCCCAACTTGCTGTTTCCATATTTTGGAAATTTTGGGGCTCTCGGGCAGCGAGGTGTCCTTGGATTCAGGCTCAGAGAGGAATTGTTTTGTCTAAAGATGAAAGAACGGTAGTTKTAGTGCTGTACTAGGGAAGTACAAGAATACAGATGCATGAAAATAGAGAAACTAAAAATCCTARGGCATCACAGCCAAGGGCTGTTTGTTGGGGGGAACCCCTGGGGTTACCAGCCCTGGAAGCAGAGCTGGAGCTGCTGTCGGGGGAGCTGAGAGCCCTCTCCTGTCCCTGCTGGAGCCAGACTGGAGCTGTGGGGCCATGGCAGCACCGGCACCAAAACCCTCTCMCGGTGTGCTTGGGGGTGCCTGGAGTCCCCCAGCACTGCAGGGCCATCCCACCATCCTGGGGGAGCTTTGGGGAGGGAGCAGCGGCTCTGGGGGCCCAGGGGGCTGATGGCTCTGTCCCCACAGCTGGCTGCACCTTCGAGGAGGACGATGACCCCAACCAGTGCGAGTACAGCCAGGGCGAGGACGATGACTTCGACTGGGAGCTCCTCCGCAGTTACTTGGTGCCTCACCTGACGCCTGACCTGCCCCACGGTGAGTCCTGGGGTCCCCCTGTGTCCCTGGGGACCTCTTCCCCCAGACCACCTCTGTGTCCTGTACCCCAGGGCTGGCCTATGTGGCTTCTCCTGGTTTAATTCCTGCAGCATTTTAGGCTTGGTTTCTCTCTGGTTGTATGGGAAATGAGGAAGAAGACATGTTTCTGGCTTTTTCAAGTGTGGGGAATTGCTTGTGAGTTGGAGGCATCTCCAAAGTTTTGGGAACTCTAAGGAAGAAAATGAAAATGGACTGATTTTTAAATCACATTGGTTTTAAACTGTTTTTTGTTATTTTCAGGGTCCATCTCCTCTCTGGAGATGTAGGCTGGGGGAGCAGAACCAACCAGGCAGCTGTAGGGAGCTCCTGTGTCTACCAGGATGGTGTGGGCACCATTTCTGGGTGTCATTTGGGGGCTTTGCTTGCTCCCTGCTCCAAACTCTTTCCCTCTGTGACCCTGTTGATCCTCCCTGAAGCCATTTTTTCAGTGAGATGCGCTGGACTTGGGATGTTCCTTGTTTTTGGGACTGCTGGCTCCTGCCTGATCCTGGAGCTCAAGTCCTGTGCTGAGGGTGGGCAGAAAGACAGGYGAGCTGGTTTAGAGCTCAACAGTAAAACCATCCTTTTTTTATTTACTCAAGTATTACCTGCTTTATAGGAAACTCTTCACTGCTCCATCAACCTGCCTCCAGCTGTTTATCTTGTGCCTTGTTCATGCCAGGGCTTAATTTGGCTTTTCCCCTTCACTAATTCTCCTCTGCCTTTACCTTTTCCCATCACCTTTTCCTTCCATCCTGTCCCTGCTGGCATTTCCTGGATCCTGGGTGAGGGCAAACAACCCTTAGGGATCTGCTGATAGATCCCTGCTCCTCCCTTGATGATTTTTCCAATTGCTTTAAACTGAGCTATCCTAATTGGTGTGTGTCCAGGGCGGGTTTCCAGGGGGAAGCAAAGCTGGGGGTTGAGGTAGCTCGTGATGGAGAGTCTGAGATCAGTAATTAGTTGAGTTTTCTACTCAATATTCAGCTGTAATTTAAATTTGCAGTGAGCTGCCCGAGTTTAAAGCCTGGAGCCTTGCAGGGGGCTGAAGGGTGGAAAAGGGCTTCTCTCCCAACTTGAAGAGATAACCATGGGTCAGCAGGAGATGGGGGCTTAAAGGAATGCAGTGATTTTAAGCAATTAACTCCAGGATTGATGGGGAAGTGGGTGTGACATCCCAGGTCCGATGGTGTGAGCGTGGGGCATCGCAAAGTCACCCTGGAAGAGGATGCTYATCCCTGTCCTCCTGTAAGATCAGGTAGATGCTGTTTGCTTGTGGTCTTGGGGCCCTGGGGAGATGCAGGGACCCTGGTTTTGAGTGGTTTTACCCTGTTCTGGATGGAGAGTTGTGCATGAGGCTCCTGCAGCCCTGTCACCCCTTCAGTCCCTGCAGCTCGGGGGATCAAAGGGATTTCACAGCGCCAGGGCCTCTCYAGGGAGCACTTTCCAAAGGAGTCTCGTGGTCTCAGATTAAAATGAGTTTTTATTGGATATCAGCCAGTTTCAAGGAGCATAGGATTTATTGGAGTGGGTGCTGGCTGCTGGCCACCTGCTGCTACCTTTCCATCCCACTCTTCTCATGCTTTCTTGTTTGGTTTGGGGTTTTTCCCCCCTTCTCTTGTCTTGTCTCTATTTCMCTTAAAGATGATGGATGAGTCTCTCCCACATTGCAATTATGGAAAAATATCTCTTTATTGTTTTTTTTTTAAAGGAGCAGTTGCAGGGAGCTGGGTAAGGCAGGTGTGAGGCTGCAGTCCCAGACTGGCTTGGGTTGGAAGGGACCTTAAATCCCATCCAGTGCCACCCCTACCACGGACAGGGACCCCTCCCACTGTCCCAGGCTGCTCCCAGCCCCAATGTCCAGCCTGGCCTTGGGCACTGCCAGGATTCCAGGGGCAGCCACAGCTGCTCTGAGCACCCTGTGCCAGGGCCTCCCCATCCTCACAGAGAAGGATTCCTTTCCAAAATCCCACCTAACCCTGCCCGCTGGCAGTGTGAAGCCATCCCCYCTTGTCCAAAGTCCCTCTCCACCTCTTCTGGACCCTCTTCAGGCARTGGCAGGGGCTCTAAGGTCCCTCACTCTCAATGCTAAACCAACATATTTGTGGGTGTTTTGTTTTTCCTCAAATGGTGTTTTTTCCTAGATTTTCCTTCCAAACTCACTGACATTAAGAAACCCGTTGTGAATTGGAGCTTCTCCGTGCATGGAGCATCTGCTGTCCCTGCACAGTCCTGTCCCTGTGCTGGGGGATCGAGCTGTTGTCYCCACCCTGAAGAGCTCTGATGTCTCCATCCCATCCAAGGAGTTGYTCCTTCAGCTCTCAGCTCCAGCAGTGCTTCCCAACTGGCTCCTGCTGCACATCCATAAAACCTTGRAAAGCTGAAGCMGGAGTGTTTGGTCCYGTGGGAATTGCTGCAGTCTGTCCARGGGTCCTGTGGTGGTGGGAGRTGAGCCCTTGGTGAGGGGCTCCTCTGGGAGATGCTCAGCACACAAGTGGGGAGTGTTCCCTGGTTTGCAGGCTGGCTCTGCCATGGAGAAGGATCTGGCACACGYCAGCTCCATCTTCCAGTGGGATTTCCTGGAGACAGCTGCTGCAGTGCTCAGACCTGGTCCCTTGGCACCTCTTGTCTGGCAGTGCCGCCCTCTTCTTGTCATCCCACCTGCCTCCCCTGCCATCTAATAGCTCTTGGAATGGTTTTTTTTTTTAATTTATTTTTATCTCTCAGTGATTTTTGGGAGGAAAAACTCATTGAGACGGGGAATCAGGGGGAGCGGGTTCTCCTTCCTCTTCTTGCAGGCATGTTTGGGTTTCTCCTGGAGGGATGKAGTGGCAGGCAGGACCCTTGGGATGGGCAGCACAATGGGAAGAACTGCCCCTTCCCYGTGGGCAAGCAGGGCTTCAACTGGCCTTGGGCACTTGGGCACCCTGTGCCAGGGCCTCCCCACCCTCCCAGRGAACARTMCCTTCCCAACATGCCATCTAACCCTGCCCTCTGGCAGTGGGAAATACCTCTGCTTCTCTTGGGTTTGTTAAAAAACCCCAACCCACACCCTGGGCTTGAAGCTAATGCCAGATATTTACAGCAGAGGAGGATATAATTAGCACAAAAGCAAGTGGTTGGAACCTGCTTTTTCCAATGCTGCAACACTAGAAAGAAAATTAAGAGGGGAAAACAGTGTGTGTGGGAAGCCCTGCTGGATGAGAGATGCTCAGGTGCATCCCTGCTCCCGGGTGACCTTATGGGCATTCTCTGCCTTTTAAAATAACTCATCAGTGGTTTAATTTTAGTCTTGGCCTCTTTATTTCGGTCCTGTGGCTTTTTGTTTGTGAAGGAAGGGCAGAGGAAGGGGCTGTGTTTAACGAGAGCCCATTTGTTGATGAGGTGGCTTTGGGGACATGTCCCCTGGCATGGGGTGGGTCAATGGTCTCTCTCCACTCCTCTGTCGCCTGGACCAAATGGGGCTGATCTCATTAGAGCAGAAGTAATTTTGCTGGGGGAAATGAGAGGAGAAAAAAAGAGAAGCATGGACACAGTGCCTTCCCCTCGGTGGGWGAAATGAGCTGTGCCTGAGTCTGAGGAAATAAATTGTGATCATTTTATTTCACCCTGGGTAGCCACCCCAAGGGCTGGCAGGGCCAGGCTGCCACGCGGGTCAGTGGCATGGTGAAAATTTCCCTCTGCAGGGATTTCTTTCCCTTGCCCCAGCTCCTGTCCCTGAAGGATGAATGGGGAGATGTGTGTGGTACCTGGCACCATGTCACCCCAGCTGGTGCTGTGACCCCCTGGGTGCTCTGGGGTCCCCTCAGGTGCATGTCCCAAGTGCTGTGGTAGTGGATGGGTGCCCCCTATGACCCCAAATCTGTAGGGGAATGGATGGGTGCCCCCTGCAAGTCCCCTTCACCTTCATTAGGCTTTTCTTGGAGCTGCTCAGTGGGAGTCGATGGGAGGAAAGCGCCTGAGCTTRGAATTAATTAATAACGAAGCACTGACTGTCAGAAAAACAATGGTAGGCTTGAARAAATGGCCCAGCTTTGTTACTTACAGCTTCTGCTGGTATTAAAATGGAGATTAATAATCCCYTTGCCTTTGGTGAGGGGGAGGATTTTGTGGGGCACTTTCCCATCCCTCCTGCATCCCAGCCCCACAGCTGTGATGGATGGGTCTGGGAGCTGCCACGAAGGGCYGGAACTCTTGCATCCCCCTCCTGCCTCCAGATTGCCTAGAGTGTGTGGGACAGGGAATGATGCTGCCTTTGGGATCCCCTTTAGGATTGTTATCCTGCCTGCCCTGTAAGTAAGGCTTGGAGGCTGCACTAAGGCTCCTGGTTTTGCTGCTGGTGATTTGGGGTGATGGGAGATGGGATCCCAATGGCTGCTGGTGRTGGGGCAGGTCTGGGAGTGACATCCCAGGCATCCCCGAGAGCTGTGTTGCTGCTGCTCGTTAAGCCAATGAGTTTTTCCCCCTGCGAGTGCCTGCTGAGCACAGTTTAAACGTGGTGACAACTGTGTGGTAAATGATACGAGGAGCTGGGAATGGGAATTAAACAGCTGGGGCCCGGCTGGGGAGGGGGACTGGCACAGCCAGAACTCTGAGAGTTAAAGGAGGGCGGCATCAGAGCTATTGCTGACCTGGGGAGGCATCAGCTCTGATCCTCCCCTCCCCATCGCAGTGTCCCAAAGGCAGCGGTGCCTGACTCCATCCCAGGTCCCTCCTGTCCTGCCCCTGTCTCCGTCCCAGGTCCCTCCTGTCCTGCCCCTGTCTCCATCCCAGGTCCCTCCTGTCCTGCCCCTGACTCCGTCCCAGGTCCCTCCTGTCCTGCCCCTGACTCCATCCCAGGTCCCCCCTGTCCTGCCCCTGACTCCATCCCAGGTCCCTCCTGTCCTGCATATCTTCATGGGCTCTCATGGCCCAGTGCCCTGGGGGCCATGAGCATCTTTGTGGTCCCACATCCTCCACCTTCTCCATCCCTGCTGGCAAAGCTCAGGAGAGGTGGAACAGGGGGACTAGAGTAATAGAATCTCCTGAGTTGGGAGGGACCCCCATGGATCATGGATCCAACCCCAGCCCTCCCCAAACCCCACCCTGTGCATCCCTGGCAGCGCTGTCCCAACGCTCCTGGAGCTCTGGCAGCCTCGGGGCCGGGACCATTCCCTGGGGAGCCTGGGCAGTGCCAGCACCCTCTGGGGACAGAAGAACCTTTCCCTGCTCTCCATCCCAAATTGACCTGGCCCAGCTCCAGCCATTCCCTGTCCTGTTCCTGTCCCAGGGAGCAGAGATCAGAGCTGCAGCCCCCACTGAGCTCTGCTCTCAGTCTGCTCTGCTCCAGCTGAACACATCGAGTGCCCTCAGCCACCCCTCGTGTGGCCCCTCCTGGCCCTGCACCACCCTCGTAGTTACTCCCTGCTTTCCCCCTTGTCCTCGCAGGCTCCTACCTGATGGTGAACTCCTCTCAGCACACCCCGGGCCAGAAAGCTCACCTGCTCTTGCAGGCCCTGAGTGAGAATGACACGCACTGCCTCCAGTTCAGCTATTTCATGTTCAGCCAGGACGGTCACAGCCCCGGCACCCTGAATGCCTACGTGCGGGTCACCGGGGGCCTGGTGGGCAGCGCCGTGTGGAACGCRTCGGGCTCACACGGCCGCCAGTGGCACCAGGCCGAGCTGGCYGTCAGCCTCTTCTGGCCCAGCGAGTACCAGGTGAGCCCCAGCTGAGCCCTCCCCAGCCCGGACACCCCGGCCCTGGGTGACCCCCCTGTTTGGTGCCGCAGGTGCTCTTCGAGGCGGTGGTTTCCAGCGAGCGCAGGGGGTACCTGGGCCTGGATGACATTTTGCTCCTGAATTATCCGTGCTGTGAGTGCCATGGGATGGGATCTGAGGCGGGGGGGTGGCGTGGGCAGCTGGGCATGGAGCTGCTGTCCACTGGGGAGAGTGGAGCGACTAATGCCAGGGKGCAGCCTGGTGGCACCTGGGTGTGCTGATGTTACCTGGGCTGGTGGAGCTGCATCTCCTGATGCTGGGGCCCCTTTTTGCATCTCCATCCCTATCCCCAYTTCCAGCTCCAACATTGCTTCAGTTTTTATAAAACCTTGGAAAAGCACAGCCTGAACTTGAGGCCTAAGTGTCCCCATCAAGTGGGGCCATCTGGGCTGGTGGAAACCCAAAATCCCAGGCTATCCCAACACATTAGCTCTTAGGGTTTGCCCCGGATTTCTTCCAGGCTGGATAGGGCACCTGCCTGCTCTATCAATGCCATTCCCTGCATCTGGCACCTGCGCTGTGGGGTGCTGGAGGGGAAGGCTCATCCCTCCCTGGGACACTGGCTGTTCCTGTGGATCCCTCCCTGGGACACTGGCTGCTCCTGTGGGGACAGGAGCACATTCCTCATTTGACTGGGGCTGCCTGTCCAGAGTTTGGCTCAGCTGTGCCACCCTGGGTAGGGTTTTGGGTGTGGAGAGATTTTTGCAGCAGTGCTGCCATGGCTCCCATTGGGGCTCGGACACTTCCTCACCTCTTGCTCTGTCCCTTGGCAGCGAAAGCGCCTCATTTCTCCCGCCTGGGCGATGTGGAGGTGAATGCAGGACAAAATGCCACTTTCCAGTGCGTGGCCGCTGGCAGGGCCGCCGAGGCTGAACGCTTCCTCATGCAGGTGAGCAATGGGGGAGGTGAAACCACCCCAGCCAACCCCACACACGGCTTTCCTCCAGAGAAAACTCCGCTGGACACGGCAGGAGAAGGGCGATGGCCCTGCTTTTATCAGACACCATCTGGGGACACTGGCAGTGGCTGAGGCGGTGCCGCCGTGCCCCCGTGACACCGTGTGTTCCCCGTGGGCAGAGGCAGAGTGGCAAGATGGTCCCCGCTGCCTCGGTGAAGCACATCAGCCACCGGCGCTTCCTGGCCACGTTCCAGCTGGACACGGTGTCCAAGGCAGAGCAGGACCTGTACCGGTGTGTCACCCAGTCCCCCCGCGGCGCTGGCGTCTCCAACTTCGCCGAGCTGATTGTCAAAGGTGGGTGAGCTGCTCTTGCCTGCCCTGAGTCATGGATGCACCATTCCTGGTCCTGTTTGTAGAGGAAGAGGAAGGTGGGATGCCCAGGACAYTGGGATTACAGTTTCTCACTGTGGACAGTTGCTGTGTGTGGACCTTGCAGAGTAAGACCAGAAACTGCCTTTCGTGGTGGCCTTGGATCATTTATTTTTGATTGCAGTAGGTGGGAATTAATTAATTATGGTGAAACTGTGTGGCACCACGCTGGGCCATGTGTCTTATAAAGATAATTAAGGTTTGATCAAATGAAATCCTGTTGCAGCTGTTCAGGCCTTACTGCAAGTGATGGMGGGCACAGGCTGAAGTTTGAGGACTGGGTGGTGCCTTCCTGTAGYTGGGTGACTCCCACATCCTCTGGATGGGGAATCTGACTTTGTCCTGTGCTCTGCAGCACAAATTCCAGAATGGTTTGAGGTGGAAGGGACCTTAAAGCTTATCCAATTCCACCCCTGCCATGGGCAGAGACAACTTCCACTTCCCAGGTTTCTCAGAGTCCTCTCCAACCTGGCCTTGGACACTTCAGAGGTTGGGGTAGCCACAGCTTCTCTGGGCATCCTGTGCCAGGGCCTCACGTCCTTCCCACGGAAGAATCATTTCCTAATATCCAATCTAAACATACTCTTTGTCAGGGTGAAACCATTCCCCCTTGTCTGTTTCTTCATGCTCCTGTAAAAGTCCCTCTCCATCTCTTTTGTAGCCCTTCAGATACTGGAAGGCCACAGTTAGGTCACCCCAAAGGTTCTCTCCTGCAGCCTGAATGTGGGGGATTGGTGGGAAGAGAGGTTGGGAATGTGTTGTAAACAATGGAATAAAGCTGTGGTGTCTGTGGTTGTGCCAGCACTGTCCTGGCTCTGGGGATGTTCCACTGCCCCTTCTCTGCTCTTTTCCAGAGCCCCCCACCCCCATTGCCCCTCCCCAGCTGCTCCGGGCTGGCTCCACCTACCTCATCATCCAGCTCAACACCAACTCCATCATCGGCGACGGCCCCATCGTGCGCAAGGAGATCGAGTACCGCATGACCTCGGGGCCCTGGTCCGAGGTGCACGCTGTCAACATGCAGACCTACAAGCTGTGGCACCTGGACCCCGACACAGAGTACGAGATCAGCGTCCTGCTCACCCGGCCTGGCGAGGGGGGCACGGGCAAACCRGGGCCGCCCCTCATCAGCCGCACCAAGTGCGCAGGTGGGTGCCATGGGCATCCTTTGGAGGGGTCCCCTGGCACCCCGAGCCCTTCCCCGTTCCCGTGTGTGTGGAGCAGTTAACCCACGGCTCCTCTGTGTGTGTGTGTGTGTGCGCCATTGGCAGAGGAGTCTCCTCATTACCTTCTCCCATTCACGCCAACTAGAGCTGATTAAACTCCCTCCCATTGATGGCACTTGGTCTTTCTTGTCTTGATGACAACACAAGGGTTCCCACAGTGTGGGCATCTTTCTCTGGTTATCTGGGGCTGGTATCCTTCACCTCTGCAGGAAGGATAAGCCCCCAGGCGCTGCTGTCCCTGCAGTGTTGGTGGCTTAAAGATGTCCCCAGTGAYGTCCCCAGCTCTGTCTGCAGGGCAGCAGTGTCCTGTGCTAGGGCTGGTCCCAGCTTTGCAGTCAGGTTTGCTCTCTGCACTCATCCCTTCTGTCCCCATGCTGTAAAAGGGTTTTCCCTGATAGGACATGTAATCCATGAGGTGTTTTGCTTCCTCGCTCACCRCTCCCCACCTCTCTTCCCCCAGAGCCCATGAGGGCCCCCAAAGGCCTGGCTTTCTCCGAGATCCAGTCCAGGCAGCTGACGCTGCAGTGGGAACCGCTGGGCTACAACCTGACCCGCTGCCACACCTACACCGTGTCCCTGTGCTACCGCTACTTCGTGGGCAGCGGCCACAACCAGACCTTCCAGGAGTGTGTGAAGATGGAGCGCAAYGCCAACCACTACACCATCAAAAACCTGCTGCCCTACAAGAACATCCACGTCAAGCTCATCCTCTCCAACCCCGAGGGGCGCAAGGAGGGCAAGGAGGTGATATTCCAGACAGATGAGGATGGTGAGTCTGCTCAGGGAGGTGCATCATCCCCAAAAATGGAGCTCTGTAGCTGGTGAGCTGCTGGGGTGTTTCCTGTGCCATGGTGTGCATCCCTGGCTCTTGSCCCGTGGGCATGATGGGAATGGCTCCTGAGCCAAGGGGAGGCAAAAAGGATCTCGTACCCCTCTGTGTAAGAGGAGGTGAGAGAAAGTGGGACTGATGGTGTTTGGGGAGGGGAGATGCCTGTGAGGGACTCAGGGCTGGATGGTGATGTCGCTGTGGGCACACTGCCCTTGTCCTTGGAGRGGAGTTTTACCCATGGCTGGTCCAGTGGAGGGTGTGAGAATTGGCTCATGCCCGTCTCCTCACAGCACCAGTCATCCTCACTCATCCCTTATTGGAAGCAAAGCCTGTCAGCCACAATAACAGCAATTAAAACAATTAACGCTTTGCACTCAGCTAACATCTTTTATCTGCTTGGTCSCCGATGGATTCGGCACTGCTGCATTTCTGGGAAAGTTCACCCAGGCAGGTGCAGCTTTTCTCGGCTTCCCTGGTGCTCTTCCCTGCTGAAATTTGCTCTCAGCTGGGTTCAGATTGTGCAGATGAGTTCTGCAGTGATAAGGCCCTGGTTTTTGGCAGCAGCATTGCTCCTGTTTTCCCCTGGCTGTGCCTCAGGGTTGGGTTCTCTGTCACCTGAGCGGGAGGACATCCTCTGTGGAGGCTCCAGCATTGCTCCAGCACTTCTTGGTTTTGGAATCTCTTGCTCTGGCCCAGCCCTTTTGTGAGGATCCGCTCAAGCTGAAGCTGCTGGAGAGGTCTCCCGGGTCTGGGCTCACCTGCCTCTCGGCCTGACTGCAGCTCTCCATCAGCAGTGCCTGGGTCACTCTGAGTTCTGGACATTCAGTGCTTATGGCAGGAGCCACAGGACAGAGCTGGCTCCATGTCTGGTGCCACCCATCACGGGGTCCATCCAGGGCTGGCCTCTCCCGCTGCTGGATGCTGGGAGCTCAGGGTGGCCAGAGCATCCCTGGGTCTCACGGAGTCATCTGTTAAACAGGAATGAATTAATCTCCAAAGCACTTGTTAGTGTGAAGGAATTGGCAATTAAAGTGGAAGAAGTGGTCATTGTAAAGGATTGAACTGACTCCAGAGCCCCGGAGGACCCCTGAGGAGAAGCCTGCCGTGTATTCCCCTGCACAGACTCTCCATTGTGTGTGTGATGCTCACTCCTCTTTCCCAGGCTGGAAAGCAAAACCTGAAGAGCTGGAGCAGAGCAGGAAGTGTCTCCAGATCCTTTTTCACCTCCAAAGCCTAAATCCAGGGCTGTCCTCTGCACACCAGCACTTTCCATATTGCCAGAGCCTGAGCCTGCCCCAGCGGGGGCACCCACCTTGCCAAGGGTTTATTTTCCAGCTATAATTGCTCCAGTTGTTCTCACTGGGCTGTGACTGCTCCAGCTGTTTGCTTTTGGAAGATTAATACAGGAGATCCAGATGTCTTTTTGCCGTACTGTAATCACTCCAGCTGCTTTTCTCTGTGCCTCAATTAAGCGGGGCTGGTGGCTTCCCCCTTGGATTGAACTTGAGGCTGTGTACACATTCAGTCTCACAGAGATGGATCTATGGATATCCACCCACGGATATGTTGCAGATATTTTCACGTGTCTGGCCCAGCCTCTCCCTGCCAGCCTGGGAGGATGATGAGGATTCGAGCTCCTAGAGCTGGGTGATGAGCAGCTGCCGTGCAAGTGAACCGAGGTGCTGAAGGCTCGTTAATGAGAGGACCATTTATTGTGGTTTATTTTGGCATAAGGCCGGTTTTGGCAGCAGCATCAGCCTCCCCTTCCCAAGTGGTAAACCCTGGTTTTGGGCTGGACAATCCAAATAACTGGGCCAAACCAAGGCTGCTGTTCACAGTATCCCCCTCAGACCCAAGGCAGTGCTGTGCTGGGTGTGTGGGCAGCACACTGAGGGAAGTGTGGGCATCCACAGCRTGTCCAGTTGGTGTGTCCATGCCCCCGATGGATCCAGGTGACCCACAGCTGGAGATTTTGTTCTGTGCGTGCATGAAATGATGAAACTGAATCCCAGGGACCTGTGGAAATACCACTGCAGCATGCTGGTGCTGCAGGGAGCCAGTTCTCTCCCTTGCAGGCAGGGTGCATASAATGCAAGCCAGGATAAGTAGATAYAATTCCATGAATAAATGTATGTGTGCATGTATGGATAGCAGAGGGGAATGTGCACATGTGGCAGCTGTTGTGTGTGTCCTCTGCCTTTCTCAACCTGCTATGAAAGCACATGATGCCTGGATTTATATACATGAATATATAGGCTATATATATTATAAAATAAAGATAATATATAAATTATCTTGTAGATAATTATTACCTGCCTATAGGATTATTACCTATATATAATTATCCTATAGACAATAATTTAATTATGATACAATGTGTAATAATAGAAAATAATATGTCATTGTCTACATAGTACAGGCTATATATAATAATAGAAAATAATATATAATTATATGTAGTACAGGTTCCATATAGTACAAAAACAATCTCTGTAGGTACGCACTCTCCTGCCCTACAGGTTTCCGTAATTCTCCCCGAATTTAATAAGCGCCTGTGTACACGTGTAGGACATGGYGCCTCTGATTAAATTAACTTGTAAATCAGGTGTAAACGGCACATTTGCACGGTGGGAAGCACGGGAGGTGATCCCTCTCTCCCGGCCCCGTAATTACACCCGAACAAAAGCTGCAGAAAAAGCGGAGCAGAAGGAGGAGCTGCTGTCCCCCTGCAAGGAGAGGGGGCTGCTTTTGTTTGGGGATGCTGCCAGTGCCTTCCCAAGCCATCAGCTCTGTCCTTGCTGACCCCTCGGGTGGAGAAATCTGTGATAAAGGAGCGGATATTGATCCTGGCGCTACTGATCGCCGCCAGTGATTACAGTTATTATTGTGGTGCTGTTAATTAGAGGGGAGGCYGGGGCACATCGAGCCTGTCTGCACATGAGGATGCTGCTGCTCGCTGGCAGCTGATGCTGCTGGCTCCAGGGGGGATTTGGGTTGTTGGAGAAAAGGGAATTTATTTCTTCTCGTACTGAAGAGTGTGGTGCGATGTGCTGGTGCTTGTCCCTGTGCTGAGGTGCTGGAAATGGAACCTGTGGGGTTTATGCTGCTGTGGAACCTCCCCCTCCCATGGCAAAGTGTCACCAGCAGGTCCAGGAGCCCCAGTGCCTTGGGCTTGTCCCTGRGGAGCCACCAGCCCTGTCTGGTGGCACTGGCTGGAGATGGGTGACACGGCAAAGCGAATGTGATGGCTCGGTTGTGAGACACAACTACCACAGCCCCCTGGAGGGGTTTCCTGGAGGATTTCTCCCTCCAAACTGGTTTCCTGCTGCATCCAAGCACATCCCCTTTCCTTCCCAGTGCCTGGCGGCATCGCCTCCGAGTCCCTCACCTTCACCCCGCTGGAGGACATGATATTCCTGAAGTGGGAGGARCCGGTGGAGCCCAATGGCCTCATCACACAGTATGAGGTACGTCCTGGCCAGTGCAGCACCTGGGGGGACATGGGGACACRGGAAGGGCCCACTGAGGGRTGCATTGCAAGKGTCTGGGACAGTSTCTGCTCTTGGCCATGGGGGTTAGAGGCRGCTGCTGCCCCAGAGCCCTTTGGCTTTCCAGTGAACCTCTGCTTTTGTTTCACCTCARAAAGTCCCTGGCTGCCTCCAGGGCAGCATCCCCTCCTTTGAATTMATCCTTTTAATCCCTTCTCCACCCTAATCTGGGCTCTCTCCCCTCTCCCGTGGTCATGAGTGATGCTCTTCCCTGTCCCTGCAGATCAGCTACCAGAGCATCGAGTCCTCAGACCCAGCAGTGAACGTGCCGGGCCCGCGGCGCACGGTGTCCAAGCTGCGCAACGAGACGTACCATGTGTTCTCCAACCTGCACCCCGGCACCACCTACCTGTTCTCAGTGCGCGCCCGCACCGGCAAGGGCTTCGGCCAGACRGCGCTCACCGAGATCACCACCAACATCTCCGGTGGGTTCCCTTCCTGCTCCATTCCTGCTGCCAGGCCTTCTCCTCTGCTCGGGTATCCCAGGCTGGTGTGCAGCCTCTGGCTCACTGGCCTGGTTTTGGTGACCGGGGGTTTTTGGTGACAGGATGCTGTGATGGAAGCTGCCCTTGGTGATGGCAGCTGTGCTGTGAGCCCCTGGCAGTCCCCAGAGTGGGTCTCTGCCTGGGGAGTGTGGCCAGCCCGGTGCTGGCAGCCGGTGCTGTCTGAGCTCTCGGTGTACAAGCAGGGGGATAATTGGGCTTTGTTAATGAGCTGTGCAGCACTCGGGGCTGTGCTCATGTCCACSGCAGCGCATGAATTGCTGCAAATGGGCTGAGCTGACCCTGAATGGGAGCACTGAAACAAAGAGGCTCAGGCTGGACCCCAGCAGCTGCTGGCAATAGTTTGGGGATCACGAGGCTATGGCAGGGATGAGGGGGTCCCCCACCTTGGTCTGGGGATGCTGCTGGGCTGGCTCAGGTGTGTTTTGCCCTGAGGCTGGGGATGTTCTCGCTGTGCCAGTGATTGTGCGTGGTGCCATCCACGGGCATATCTCAAGACTGGATTATCTGAGTCCTGCCGAGGTTGGATCCCACTCTCGCTCCCTTCCTGCTGCCAGACTGGCATTGGTAACCAGCCTGGTGCACGCCCAGGAGTCCTCTCCCATCTCTAACTCTTGTTCAAGACCCAGAGCGGTTTCCTTTATTTGCAATAATTTTTGTTTCACCACYGGACGATGCCTTGCCCTGGGCAAAGCTGCTCATGCCTCAGTTTCCCTGCTGAGCAGGGGGAGCCCCAGGACTCAGGCCCGCTCCCTTTGCAGCTCCCACCTTCGACTACGGGGACATGCCATCGCCCCTGAGCGAGTCAGAGAGCACCATCACGGTCCTGCTGCGGCCGGCGCAGGGCAGAGGGGCTCCCATCAGGTASGAGGGGGCTGCAGGAGGGTGAGACCCCAGCATGGGGAGGCACAGCGGGGTTCAGGGAAGGGCAGGAGTGTCCTTCCCCAAGCTGACCCGTGCCTGGCCCTTGCCAGCACCTACCAGGTGATCGTGGAGGAGGACCGGCCCAAGAAGCTGAAGCGGGAGCTGGGAGGGCAGGAGTGCTTCCCGGTGCCGCTCACCTTCGACGAYGCCGTGTCCCGCGGCTCCGTGCACTACTTTGGGGCAGAGCTGCCTGCCAGCAGCCTCACCGAGGCCAAGCCCTTCACCGTGGGGGACAACCAGACCTACAGCGGCTACTGGAACCCACCCCTGGAGCCCAAGAAGGCCTATCTCATCTACTTCCAAGCCATGAGCAACCTGAAAGGGGTGAGTAGCCCCCGGGCCCTGCTCCAGTCAGGGGGTTGGACCAGGTAAAGGCAGCCTGGAGTCTGGGGGTTGGTAAAAATGGARCTACTTTTAGATCCCCCTCCCTTGGGTCACCTTCTGTGTTCACCCCTGGCATCCTGCTGGGGGGCACTGGGTGCTCCAGGCCACCCTTACAGCATGCTGAGATCATAGGTGGGTGTCCCATTCCGCTCAGCACCCCTGGGTGGTGCCCGTACCCATCCTGGTGACAATGTTGGGGTGGAGGAGCTCCATTTCCCCACCCACTGCAGCACCAGCCAGGATGCCAACAAGTACCAATGTGGGGCAGAYCCCATTCTTGGGGCTACTCCTGGGCTGGAGAGGGACCATTGGGGCAGCCAGAACTCTGTATGCATTGCTGGGACCCAGTGCTGGCAGGATGGCCAGTGCCAGCTGCAGAGAGCTCCCAGGAGTTCCCGGGCTGCCCTTCCCTCCCTGCTGCAATTCCCTGGGCTGGTTCCTCCAGGTCACCAGCAGGACTGTGGGCACCCTGTGGGGACCCTTCTTGGTGTCACCTGCTCCAGCAGCTCCTATCCCATCTGGGGGAGCATCCTTATCCTGCACATCTCTGTCTTGTTAGAAAGGTGCTGGTTACTGAGTCCTTTGCTGGGCTTTGGGGTCCTTCACAGCTCGCTGGCTTGTAATTAGAGCCAGGAGGGACGGAGAGGATCCCAGCACTGACTCACTCGGCACCGTTGGATAATAACTGGTGGCTGATGCWGTGTTACAACTTTCCTGCTGGGAGGCAATGGATTTGTCCCAGCTGCTGTCAAATGTTGGAAAAACACTGGATTGTAGCTGGGGTTTTTCATGGTTTTTGTGCCAGATGAAGCAAGAAGCAGAAGGAAAAGCTGGAGGCCTCAGGGAGAGCAGTGCTGGAGCTGGCCCTGTCCTGGTCATGTGGCATGGGCAGGTCTTAGGSCAAGGCTGGATGGAAGCAGCATTGGTTCCTGGTGTCCTAAAGACTGGAGGATGTTTGGAGAAGAAGGCAGTCCTGCCAAAATGGTGCTTTTTATTTTGCARCAGAAGTTGGATGCATGGAAAAATGGAATATTTTAGCTGAAYCCATCCCTGAACTGCAAATGTTAAAACTGTTGGACACTTGAGCAGGAACGTCATGGCAACTTTGGCAGCGGGTGCAGAGCACCAGGCCTGGGGCTTGAGACTTTGGCTGGGGGAAGAAAAACCCAGGAAGCTCCAGATGACAACCTGGGAATGTTTTAGCTGTAGCTGGTGACACATCAGTGAYATGTGGCTTGGCTGGGCCTGCTAGGTCCTCCCACACTCTTGAGCTTTGTCATCTCCTCTGTGCCAGGAGCAGTGGCTTCTGCTAAACCTGGGAATGCTGGGGACACATAATTCAGAATCTCTTGAGATGTGGGTCCCCAGGAGCTTCTTGGGTGCTGCAGCACAAATCACTCAGACTCCCTCAATTTGGGGTCAAAGCACCAACAGAGMAGGGGCAGGAGTGGAGAGTGGAGCTGCTGGGAAGCTCATCCAACCCTGACCCCCCTTTTTTCTGTCCGTAGGAAACGCGGCTGAACTGTGTCCGGATCGCTCGCAAAGGTGAGCCCTCCCTTCCCCCTGAGCTCAGCGAGGCTGCTCCGGCAGTCAGGGCTGTGCCAGTGGGTCAGGACCAGCTCTGGCAATGTTGGCCTGAATGTGRTGGTTTATTCCAGTCCCATCCCACTCTTGTTTCCCATTCTCTTTGGTGTCTGGGGCTTTTCCCTTGGTTGAATTTTCCTTGTTAATGCTGTTCCCATGGTGGAAGTATCAGTCTGGAGCAGTGGTGCTGGATACTATATCSAGGGATGGATGGGAGGTGACACAAAGGGACTGTAGGGACTGTCTCACCCTGCTGGAGCTGAGAGAGGGACTTGTCTACTGTCTTAGTGTGGCACTGCAGAGCCCTGTAACGTCTTGGTGGAAGAACGTGTTCATGGAGCAATGAACATCCCACGGGATGAATCTCAGTGTTTTTATGTCTGATGTTGCTAACCCCCCTGGAGTTGAGTGCTGACCCCTCCTGCCTGTACCTGTCCCCTGGCAGCTGCCTGCAAAGAGAGCAAGCGTCCCCTGGAGGTGTCCCAGCACTCGGAGGAGATGGGCCTGATCCTGGGSATCTGTGCTGGGGGGCTGATCGTCCTGATTATCCTGCTGGGAGCCATCATCATCGCCATTCGGAAAGGGTAAGGGGGCATGAGCTGCTGACTGGGGCTTCATCTGTCCCTCTSTCCCAGCTCAGCCCTTCTCCAGCATCCCTGCACTGACTGGAGTTACTGGTGGGGATTGTGCTGTGCTGGGCAGACTCCAGACCCTGCCTCGTCCCAGGCTGCAAAGCTGAGCACACCCAGCATGGATGTGGCTGTGCCCATCGTGGTGGGCTTGCACCAGGGGAGCTCGTGGGGTTGGAGGGAGGAGGGCAAGGGCTTTCCAGGACACTCATCCCCGGCAGCACTGGCGACACAGCCGCTGCTTTTCACGTGAATGCAACGCCCTGGAAAAGCGGCCTCTTGTGTGCGGGGCTGGAGGCAGTGCCGGGCCAGCGGGGCTCTCAGGGCTGGGATAAAGGACAGCAATTAAACACRGAGCTTGGGAGGATGGAGCAAAGTATGTGAACAGCCAGAGGGAGAGAAAAACAGCAGGGCACAGCCTCGGCCCCTGTAAATCTGCAAAGCTCTTTGTGGCTCTGTGCACCCTGGAAGGATCATTGCTGGAAGAGCAGGGCTGGARCATCCCTGTGCACTGTGAGGTGCAGGGCTGGCTCGTGGCTCCATTGGATCCTTCCCTGATGGAGCAAATGCCAGCAGTGCTGATGTGTTTTGGGGAGTGATGCTGKGGGGRGGAAGCCATGAGTGTGGCTGCAGCRTTCCCATTGCTAGTGCTGCATGACAGGAGGAGGAGGAGGAGCAGCTCTGCTTCAGCATCCCAGGATGAACCTGTTGMAGGACAAACCAGAGCCACAAATTTGATCTGGTGCTGAGACCCCTGARTTTTGGGGCTCTTGGAAAGCTTGGATGAGCTCCTAAGTCTTCCCTGGAGTGATCTGCCTTTGGAAAAAACTGATGTGGTGGAGTGGAAATGCAGCCTTGGAATATTTTTATCTCTGGTATATGGTGGACTGGGAATGTGACATCCCAATGCCATCTCCCCCTCTGGGCCCCTGACCAGCAACCTGGGGGAAATCTCTACATTTTGGGCATCTTTGTTGTTCACTCTTAAAAATTAAGGAACAAGYCCTTGGACAAGGGCACTGTGAACACCTGCCACAAGTGTGGTCACCCTGAGAGCCAGTGCCTGTGCTCTCCTGCTGGGATGCCGGCTCCTGCCCAGAGTAAATAACCTGTGGATGCCAAAAGGGAGCCTGTTTCCTTTATGGTGCATTGAACCTCCTGGCAGCTGACTTGCCCCATAACCTCCCTTCCCCRTGCTGGAGAAAAGCTGCTTATGCAATTCCTGCTGTTCTCTTTGTTTGCAYGCTTGCCAGGAGGAACTACTATTCTTACTCCTATTACCCGTAAGTAATTGTCATTCTCCTCGTGCCTCACCCTCCTCCCAGCTGCCCCCCTCACCCTGCTGCTCCAACAAGTCCTTATCTCTGCCAAGTGCATTTTAAGGGTCTCTTAGGATCAGGGGAAATAATGCTGACAAGCTTGTTAGAGACAGAAGGCAGCACAAAGGGGAAGGGTCAATGACTCGGAGTTGCATTCTGGATTTTAGCAGTGCCTTGCAGTGTTCCAGCCCCACCATGATGCTGACATGGGCTCAGATCTGTTCATCTTTCTAGTTTAATCTCTGCTCTGGCTTTGGAGCCTGATTCTGCCTCTCAAAAACATTCATTCATATTTCTTTGCCTAAATGACTTGAATTTGGGGTGTGAGTTCTGTCCTGGTGAGARCTCCTGGGATTTCCCAGCATCTTTGTTAGGTGCTTAAAGGGACCTTGCATGGGGGGAAAAGCCTCTGCAACAGGTGCTGAGCATGGGTTTAGCCAGGGAGTCCAGCCCATCCTTTGGCATGGATTTGGCCCCTGACATGGCTTTAAAATCACTGGRAGGCTTGGGCTGGAAGGKACYTTAAAGCTCATCTTGTCCCCCTGCCATGGGTGGGGACACCTTCCACTGGAGGGAGAGCCTTTGAGTGCCCAAGGAGCCCTCCTGGCTGCCCAAGGGCAGGGGACAGTAGGGGACATTGAGGTTGAGCAGGGAGTTGCTCTGGCCAGTGAGGGATCCTCCACGTGGGGCTGCGACTGGCTTGGGACAGCAGAGCACCAAAGCACCATGACCACACTGCTGGAAATAATCCATCCTGCTCCTGGGAACAGTCCAAACCCAGGAGCTGTGAGGGGACCTTAGAACACCTGATGGTGAGCCCTGCTTATTTCTGCTCCTCCCCACTGCAGGAAACCCGTGAACATGACYAAAGCCACCATAAACTACCGGCACGAGAAGACACACATGATGAACGCCATCGACAGGAGCTTCACTGACCAGAGCACCCTGCAGGAGGACGAGCGCCTGGGGCTGTCCTTCATGGACACCCATGGCTATGGCAACAGAGGTGAGCATGGGGACCTGGCATCCCTTCCAGCCACTGCAAACCTCAAAATACTCCAGAACCAGCCTGCCAGAGCTCCAGGAGCATTTGGATAATGCACTCAGGCACAGGGTGGGATTGCGGGAGTGTCCTGTGCAGGGCCAGGAGTTGGACTTGGTGATCCCTGTGAGTCCCTTCCAACTCAGGATTTTCTGTGAGTCCRTGAATATTGAAGGCTTGGTGTTACATCTGTTTTAGAGTGATGTGTGTGGCAGAGCAGGCTCTTCCCTGCTCTGTGTAAATCTCCCAGGGCACGGATCTCATCAGTGTCAGAGCTTTTGCCATCATCCAGGCTGTGCTGAAGGGAAAGCTCTTGTGGGGTGCTGGGTCTCTGTATCTTCTCGTGGAGACCTGAGCTTGTGGCTGGGCAGGTTGAGGCCATTTGTTGGTCAGGATCTGGCTGTAGCTCCCCTGGACCTGGGTGAATCCCAGCTCTTGGCTTGGAAGCTTGCCCCCAGCCTTCCCTAGTGCAGCTTGGTCTTTGAAGGGTTAAAGATCCCCCGCACTCGCATGAGAGGGAGACTGATAACTTCACACCCACTGGAGGATGTGTCTCCATGCTGATTTAGTTGTAAAATAACTCRTTGGATGCCCCAGTTTCAGCCATATGCTAATAACATCTGTTACAGTACCTTCAAGATGCTGCTTGCACGTGGCTCTTCCGCCCTGACTGYGGGATTAATGCGCTCCCCAGCATTGTCTCATGGATAAAAGCCCAGAGGGCTAACTTTTCCTCCTTTTAATACATCGAGCTGGGTTAGGTGTATTTTTGCWTTTGGTGGCCGTCCTTGAAACTCTCAAAGGCTGCTGGGGCTGGGCTGGGGAGCTTGGGCTGTCTGCCATGGCTGGGAGAGTCTCCACTGCCTGTAAACATCCTTAATTAATGAAGGGAAATGAATGAGTGCTTGGTGGCTGTTCCCCCTCGTGCTTCATTTTCTGTGCATTTAAAAGAAAGTCACTAATCCTGATGGAAACCCAAGTGGTTCCTCAGTGTGTGGCTGCGCCAGCACCTTGCAAATGCCAGCAATTAATTTCTCATTAATCCCAGCAGCTGATGAGCCCATTGATCAGGTCATGGGCTACAAGACTCCTGTGCAGTCCTGCTGGTTCCCACTGCCAGAGGGCAGGGCTAGRTGGGATATTGGGCAGGATTTGTTCCCTGGAAGGGTAGGGGACAGGGTGTGCAGAGAAGCTGTGGCTGCTCCTGGAACCCTGGAAATGTCCAAGGCTGGACAGGGCTTGGAGCCWCCTGGGACAGTAAGAGGTGTCCCTGCCCATAGCAGGGGATGGGATGGGGTTTYAGGCYCCTTCTGACCCAAACTGTTCCATGGGTCCCTGCCTGGATCTCCTGATAGCAGCACAGGGCACCAGGTTTTGTGCAAATCCAGATTTGGGGATCTGGTGGGGAACTCCTTTGCAAACACAGGTAAGGTCTTAGTCTGGCTCTGCTGGTAATGACACAACAAAGGCACAAGCCAGGTAAATACAGCAGCCAGCTCCGTTTGTGGCAGTGTGAGGAATCCAGTGCTGGTCACTAGCTGTGAGGAAAATGAACTGTTAAGCTGTGCTGAAGACTTGGACAAGGTGATTTTTCAAGTCAGGATCTTGTGTGAATATTTGGGCATGGAGCTCTTGCTTGTCTGTGTGGGAGCTCATTGTTCCAGCTAATGGGAAATGAGGTTATTAACCCCCTTTCCCACTGATTTATAATAGATCTGCTGGGATCCTAAAAGGCTGGACTGGGCATTTTTGKCTTTGTGGTGTAGGAAGAGCTGCAGAGAGCAGGAGGGGGTGGGAGTGTGGGCTGGAGCCCTGGTGGTCCCSAGAGAGCGGCTGCAGCACCGGCATCTCCCGGGGATGTTTCCTTCACCCTCTGTGGGTGCGAGGAGGSGATGGGGTCACAGCCCAAGGTTCTGCTGTTCCTCCCTCATGCAGGTGACCAGCGCAGCAGTGTGGTCAAYGAGTCCAGCAGCCTCCTGGGGGGCTCCCCCCGGCGCCAGTGCGGCCGCAAGGGCTCCCCGTACCACACGGGGCAGCTGCACCCGGCCGTGCGYGTGGCCGACCTCCTGCAGCACATCAACCAGATGAAGACAGCCGAAGGCTATGGCTTCAAGCAGGAGTATGAGGTGGGGACAGCTTGTGCCTGTGTCTCGGGGGAAGGGAGGTGGGAGAGACCGGGTGACATGGACAGGATCTGTGTGCAAGGAGAGGATGCTCCAGGTCTGGAGGTCTGGGTGAGAGCTGGAGCTCACAGCTCTGGGCTGGCACTGTCAGCGTGGGGGTGTCCCTGAGGCTGGATTGAATGCTGCACCTGGCAGCTTGGGGTTATTGTCAGTTTGAGCAGGTCACGGAGATGAGCCAAGCCAGCCCTGCTAGTGCATCACCCAAACKCTGCAGTGCATCACCCAAACTCCCTCACAAGGGCCAGGGCCACCCATCCTCACCCCGGACATCACTGTGTCACCTTCTGCTCTCCATCACTTGTCCTGTGACAAACCTGGCCATAGTCTAAGGACAGGCAGATCCTGGGAAATCATGGACTCCATCATGTCCATCCCAGGTCAGAGCACTGGTAACTGAGCAGGTTATTTCACAAGCCTGTCTCAGCACAGCCAGCGGGGTCATTTCCTGACTCCTTGGTGTCCCACCGGTCTGGAGATTGAAATTTCCCGGTGAAATTACTGTTTAATACTCAGCTGTTTCAGGAACAGGAGCTCCCCCCACCTTTGGTGCATTGGACAAACCAGAGCTTGCGATAATCATTAGTGCTCCTTGAAAAGCTGCTGTGTGTTCTTGGAACTAGTCATTTGAAAGCACTCAGATATTATGGGAGGGGAGAAAACATGTAATTTCCTTCCACTTTCCCCCTCTTACGCCAATCTATGAATGTCACTGTTATTACACACAAACCTGTTCTGTGCTAAGGAGAGAAAGGGACTGGGGAGGTTTAGGAAAAAAAAGCACAACCAACCCTGGGGAAAAAAAAACCAGGCAGTCTGTAATTTGCTGGAAAATGGAGCATTTTGTGGATGCAACAGGAGTGTGTAGCTGGCAGAGTGTGCACTGGAGGTGGAGCTGGGTGGAGGAGCCAGGTGTTGGAGCGGAAGGACCACCCTGTCTGCGCTGCTCCCTGGGAGCTTTTGGGGCTGAGGGAGAGTCCCCAGTCCTGCCCTTGGCTTGGGATGTCCATCCTTCCCTTACAGAGCTTCTTTGAAGGCTGGGATGCATCGAAGAAGAAGGATAAGACCAAAGGGAGACAGGATCACGTGTCCACATGTGAGTGCCTCTAGCAAAGGCTTAGACACCTCAAACAGACTCAGAAATCTAAGTTCTGCAGACTCCTGGGGCACAGTGAGTGCCCAGGGTGCTCTGGAAGGTGAGCAGCCCCGGGCACTGATGGTCCCTCCTCCCCTTTCCCCAGATGACCGTCACCGTGTGAAGCTGCACCCGCTGCTGGGTGACCCCAACTCTGACTACATCAACGCCAACTACATCGACGTGAGTGGGGACAGGGCCTGTGTCCTTGGGGGTCTGGGCTGGAACAGCAGCTCCCTGAGGATCCTGTGGACTCTCAGGGTCTGTGCAGCAGCATTTGGAAGAGTTTGGACAGCCCGGGCTGGGCTGGTTGCATCCCTGGAACACTTCATGGAGGACCTGCTGATTTGTGTTCATCAGCACTTTCTGCTTGTTGCATCTCTCCCTTYGCTTTGCTCTGTCCCTCCTTTCTCATTCCCTCTTTGCTTTTCCATCTGCTTCTCCCCTCACCTGCTCATGTGGCTGTGGATCTCCCTCTCCCTGGGTGAAGGATGCAGAGATTGAGAGGACCAAGGGACCATGTGGGGCTCACACCGGGGTACCCCTCGATCCTGCTGGTGTGTGTGAGTCTGGTGATGTCCCCTGTCACCTCCAGCARTGCTGAGACCAGGGCAGGTGCAGGAAGGCTCCAGCATCTCCTGAAGCAGCAGCAAATCCCAGTCTTCCCTYCTGGCCAGAGGATGTTGTCTGTCAGTGGTGGCCTGATCCCAGAGCCCGAGCAGTGTCCCTGTGCCTGTTCCCTGTGTCCTTGCTGCCCTGTCTCTCCATGGCCCGCTCTGGGGCAGGTGCTCTAACCCCTCTCTGCTCTTGTGCCTCACTAATGTCTCTGATCTTTTTCTCTCAAACCTGTGTCCCAACGGGATCGTTAAGATTCGGATTAACCGAGAAGTAAGTAGACTGTTCCCCCTCTCCTCCCTTCTCTGCTTCCACCTCCWGCCAGGCTTTGCCTTGGGAGTGTGGTCTGTATACCTTCAGGGAGAGGCAGGCTGGGAAAATGCGTCCATCAACCTGGGTATAGCCCAGGGAATGGGAAAGCCAAGYCTGTGTGGCACTGGGGCATGGAAAGCAGGGCCCAAGTGCTCAGAGAGGGGCTTGAATTCAACCCACAAAAACCCCTGTGAAAARAGCCCTGGGGGATGGAGAAGCCACTGTCACCTCCATGTGTGTGGTGTGGTTTAACTCTGCTGCACCCATGGCCGGGCTGTGGGACACTGGGCTCACAGTCCCTGGCTGGAAYGTGCTCTCGGGGCTGGCATGTCCCTGTTTAGGGTTGAGCAGCTGGGATGGAGGGGGCAGTGGGGCTGTCTCAGCCAGGTGGGTGCTGTGGGGTGGGGGTCAGGAATGGGGCTCTCCTGGCAGCTGTGTGAGGAGCTGGAGCGCAGCTCTGTAATCCATCAAGTGCTGATGAGGATTTGGGTGCAGACCTGGAATGAGGGATGGGCAGCACKTGAGCCTCTTGTGGGATGCAGGAGATGCAGGACGGGGGGCACAGAGTGTGGGGCGGCTGCTGAACYTCCTCCTCCTCCTGCAGTGGACCTGCAGGATCTGGCCCGGTGGCTCTGGTGAATTTGGGTGCCTGGGAAGTGTCTAACGGGGCTGTGCCCCAGCTCTCGGGTGTTTCAGTGTCCCCCAGAGTGGGACTGATGTCTCTGCTTCCCTTGCAGGGCTACCACAGGTCCAACCACTTCATAGCCACGCAAGGTGAGCYACCCCCGGCCCTCTCAGCTCCTGATGGAGCAGCCAGGTTTTGTTCCTGRTGGGATTAAATCTTGCAGGAGCAGGAAAGGAAGGGAGATGGTCAATTTGGAGCAGTTCCCACCCCTCCCACCTCCCCTTGGCACTGAACAGCCCTGGGGAAAAGGGCTCTGAGATGATGTGGAGCTGTTGGTGCCTCAGAGGSAGGAGGGGGGATGTGGTGGCATCGGGGCACTGCCAGGGCTGGGTTCTGCTCATGGTGTCMATCCATGGGGGCTTTTCCTGTGCCCCACAGGGCCCAAGCAGGAGATGGTGTATGACTTCTGGCGCATGGTGTGGCAGGAGCACTGCTCCAGCATCGTGATGATCACCAAGCTGGTGGAGGTGGGCCGGGTAAGGACTCCATGCCCATGCCCATCCCCATCCCTCCAGGCTCTGGCTCTGCTGGAAGCCGCCTCCACAGAGCCAAACCTCCATCCTGTCCTCTCCCTGCAGGTGAAATGCTCCAAGTACTGGCCAGATGACTCTGAGATGTACGGGGACATCAAAATCACGCTGGTGGAGTCGGAGACGTTGGCAGAGTACGCCGTGCGCACCTTCGCCCTCGAGAGGGTGCGGACCTGCCCTGCCCCTCCAGCCCTGCCCCGGGGACAGACCCATCCCCTCAGGCACCTCTCCCCATCCATAGCTTGGCATTTGCCAGTCCCCTGTTTATTTAACCCAATAKGGGGTCACCAGTAGCTCCTTCCTTTGCTTGTTCCCTGGCTCTGCACCSTGTGCTGGCTGAGCAGCTCAGCCCTGGCTTGCTTTGGACAGTGAGTGAGTGTTTAATTTTCGTGGGAATGGGGTGGGGGTGAGGGATGCTCTCCTGTTCTCTGGGCTGGCTGTGATATAGCAATCACTCTGCAGCGTGGTAACCTGAGATGGAGCCAGTGCCAGCTACCCTTTATCTGCAGGAATGCCAAATTACTGTCTGGTTATCGTGCAGGGAACCCTGAAGCTGCTGCCACCTCCTCCTTTTCTCCTTGGTGGTTTTTAACCCTCTTGCASCCAAGAGGAGGGAGCTGTGGGGCTGCCCCAGTGCACAGCTACTGTGTAATCCATCTGCCTGGATGCTGAGCTGGTGAAATTGTGGATTCCTGAGAAAAYCAGGCATTRGAGTGACTTTGCCCTCTCACCCTTSCCTTGCAGCGGGGTTACTCAGCGCGGCACGAGGTGAAGCAGTTCCACTTCATGTCGTGGCCYGAGCACGGTGTCCCCTACCACGCCACGGGGCTGCTGGCCTTCATCCGCCGCGTGAAGGCGTCCACGCCGCCCGACGCCGGCCCCATCGTCATTCACTGCAGGTGAACGGGGTGGAGGGACCGCAGGGTCACCCCTGCCATGGTCAGGGACACCTCCCACTGCGGGGGCAGCACGCCAGTCCCGCTCCCAGCTTTATCCACAGGGCTCAAACACTGCTGGGACACTGGGAGGACACCAGTGACACGTCTGAGCAGCTGTGGTGGCTCTSTGTGCCCTGAGCAGGCATTCCCATATGATGGGCTAATGTCTCTTCCTCCACTGGGCAAACCAGGGGGAGCTGATGAGTGGGAGGGATTTTTTTTCTTTTTATTTGATTTCTGCCTGTCAACTGCCTCATCAGTGTTCATTCACCAGCCAGTGTGATTAGTGCCCGTAGCCTGTAATCAGTGCTAATCACGATGAGTGATTCATCAGCCCCAGGAATTAGTATTTCACTGGGAAAGACTCTGTAGCAAAGGAGCAGGGGGTGGTTCTGTTCCTGACACATCATGGGGGGGTCACGGCACAGCAGGTCTGTGATGTGACTCCAGCCACACCAGGATTTGGGATATCACCACTGCTGGGCTGATTCTGGGCATCCCTGGGACATCCAGACCTGCTCGTGTTAGGGGAACCTCCCTGCTCTCCCATGTYTCAGAGCTGAGCCCTCCTTGGTGCTTTTGGGCGGGGACCCCACAGGACTGTTGGCACTTTGATGGTTTAGCTGTCRGCTTTGTTACAAAAACCATTTCTGCTGTCTTAAATTAAAAATGAACTTTAGACTGTGGTGCCCAGCCACAGCCTGGCCATCACACACCCCTGGGACTGTCTGGGCAGTTTTAAGGCTAAGCCAGGCTCTGGAGGTGTGTGAGGTGCTGGCAGCCCTGCGGGTTTGCCCGGGACAGGGTGTGTGTGTTGAACCCTCACTCGGTGCCCTCTGGGCTGCGTTTGGGTGCCAGCACAGACTGGGAATGTGTTTGCTGTTTCCCCCTCCATCCCCAGCGCTGGCACAGGCAGGACTGGCTGTTACATCGTCCTGGATGTGATGCTGGACATGGCCGAGTGCGAGGGTGTCGTGGACATCTACAACTGCGTGAAGACCCTGTGYTCCCGGAGGATCAACATGATCCAGACAGAGGTGAGCAGGTGCTGGGGGCAGGGGGGACACAGGGGGCTGCTGTCCCCATTTGGCTGTGCAGGCTCAGCCCTGTCCCCTCCTCACAGGAGCAGTACATCTTCATCCATGACGCCATCCTGGAGGCCTGTCTGTGTGGGGAGACCAGCATCCCTGCCAGTGAGTTCAAGCCCACCTACAAGGAGATGGTGAGGATAGAGCCCCAGAGCAACTCCTCGCAGCTGCGGGAGGAGTTCCAGGTGAGCACCCAAACCCTCTGCAGCTCCCCCTTGTCCTCACCCTCTGGGCCCACCCCTGCTGGGGCCGAGCAGGGCTGTGAGGGGGCCCTGTGTCCCCGCAGACCCTGAACTCGGTGACACCACACCTGGATGTGGAGGAGTGCAGCATCGCGCTCCTGCCCCGCAACCGCGAGCGCAACCGCAGCATGGACGTGCTGCCGCCCGACCGATGCCTTCCCTTCCTCATCTCCGTGGATGGAGACAGCAACAACTACATCAACGCGGCCTTAACTGATGTGAGTGTTTCCTGGGAGAAGGGGGCCGCTTCCCGTGGGCTCAGGAGACTTTTCACTGCAAAATTTCACTCAGTTTGGATTTATGGCCTCATTCTGCACAAGCGCAGGAAGGCTGATGGCGGCTGTGTGCAGGGGAAGGAAGGGCTGGGACTGCTCTAACAGGGTCCTGCAGCCCTTCTTTTGTGTAGCAGCACCTGCAAGAGCTTTCCACCTGATCTCACGAGCCAGACACTGAGGGACTTTCAGGATTTGACAGTGAAAGTGGAGCAGGGGAGGGAGAGGAAGCCCCTGGGGGCTTGGTAGCATTAAGACCCCCATGTGCTGCCAGCACCCCGTGGTCCTCTTACTCCTCCTTCTGCTGCAACTGGAGGGCTCTGAACTGGTCYTGAAGCCCCCGTGCATCCCCCTGGTGCAGTCAGAAAGGACCCTGAGGTGACAGAGCTATTCCTAGGGGCTGATGATTGCAAAGCAGAGCAGAGGATGCTGCAGGCTCCAAGCCCACACTGAGTGATAGGGTCATTTATCATCACCCCCACTTCCCTTTCCTTGAAATTATTTGCGTTGGCAGCACGGAGCCCCCCATACCCCAGGCAACTTCCCTGGACCCTTTTGGTCACAGCTGAGCACTGGCACCAGGCTGAGCCTTGTTTTCCATCCCATTGGTGATTTATCCTGCCAGATCTCTGTGTGGATTCCATCTCCCTGATTCCTGCTCCCACAGCAAAAGCAGTGTGTAAAGCAGAGTGGGCTGCTGGTGGTGGGGAGTGGCTCTCACAGTGCTGCAGTGGGATGGAAGTTTTGTTTCCAGCTTGCTTGCTGTTTGCTTATCCATTTTATCTTTATGCATCACTGAGCCTCCCTTAATCTCTGCTAAAGGGTCAGTGAATGAAATATTTTTTTACGGGCAGACAAAGCCCTTTGGATGAAATTCTTGCTGAAGGGATAAAACCCATTTTCCTCTTTGAGGGAAAAAAAAAAGGAAAGTCTCATTTTCTTTAAGTGCCAAAATGGTTTGCTTAGTCAGTTTGTCCATCTGTCAGATCAGCTTGGGCTGTGCTGCCCATCACCGGTGCTGCTCCCGCTGGAACTGTGCTCTGCTCCCCACCCTGCTGTCACTTAGACCTGTGCCAAAGAGGGAGTGCCAAGGCAAGCCTGGGCAGCACCTGGTGAAGTTTCTTTCCCCCTGCTGCTCTCATACCCCTCCTCGAGGGTGGAAAGCTCTCGCTGAGCACTGGGGTGTCACTGCTGTCTATGGACGGGGGGATGGTTGAATAAAGGCATTTCCATGGGCTCAGTCAGGAGCAGGCAGAGGACCCCAGGTTGGAGAGAGCTGTGCTGATTCCGTGTCTGAAGAGGCTTGAGCCAATCCCTGTTAAATTAAGTCTGCCTGGTGCAGTGTTGGGCTCAGCTGTCTGTTGGCAAACCAGCAGCAGGATGACCAAGGGTYGAAGCACAGACCAGAAATACAGTCATTTCCTTCTTGCAGTCTYWAGKATCTTTCATTTGGGTTTTTTTTTTYCYYCCCMWWAAAAAATACTGAGCCCAGGTYAGTGGTTGTCTCTGCKGYTCTCAGTGCCCAGTGGTGGGGTGCTGTGGATGGGGGGATGCTGTGGGTGATGCTTCCAGTTAGGGCCAGGGCGCAGAGCTGGGACCTGCAGCTTCTGGGAGCCGCAGCTTCTGCTTGTTCTTGGCTCAAAGGTGGCATCTTTTCCCTAATTGTTTGTGCAAAACACCCTTTTCTGTGAGAGCAAAATGTGGATTCTTTCATCCTGACCAAGGGCAGGGATCTCCCCRTCACCAGGGCATGGAGGGACCGAGGCTGTGCCAGGGGCACCGGTTCTGCTCAGGCTTGGAGAGGAGTGGTTTGGTCAAATTCATCTGGTAGCACTGATTCTTTGGCTTGGGGCAGCAGTGTCACCACCGTGTCCTTACTGGTCCTTGTCTTCCCTCTCCACAGAGCTACACCAAGAGCGCTGCCTTCATCGTTACCCTGCACCCTCTGCAGAACACCACCACTGACTTCTGGCGGCTGGTGTACGACTATGGCTGCACCTCCATCGTCATGCTCAACCAGCTCAACCAGTCCAACTCTGCCTGGGTGAGTGCTGCTGCGCCAGGGCTGTGCTGGCCCCGTGGGTGGCTTTGTCCTGCTCTGTCCCTGTCACTCTGACAGTGCTGCAGCCCCTGCCTTGCTCACTCAGCAACTTCTCCTCTGCAAGGGGACATGGGGCTGTCTGCAGCACTCAGAATTTGTCCCCTGTAAGCAGTTGGAGCTGAAGAGGTATTGATCAGCAGCCCAGCCTGGGTGCATGGCATGGGTGTTAGGCTGACATTGTGTTGACATTGCATTGGTGTTGCATTGGTTTATTGGTGTTGACATTGCCTTGGTATTGTGCTGGTGTTGGTGTTGCGTTGGCTTTGAGTTGGTGTTGTCTTTAAATTGGCCTTGGTGTTCCTTTGGTGTTGGCATTGCTCCAGCAGGTCCATGTGCCCTGAGCTGGTGGCAGYTCTGCAGGTCTCACCTGAGTGGGGCAGAGGGACAGAATCACTTCCCTCTGCCATCTTTCCTCATTACTCAGCTCTGCCTCTTTCTCTCTCCCTGTTATTCAGGGCTGTCTGGGTTACAATATTTAGCTGGATCCTAAATGTTTACTGGTGTAAGACCAACAGGTAATAAATCAACCTTTCCAGCAGGCAGCTCYGAAAGGTGACTTGGAGGGTACAGCCCTCACTTGAACTACGCTTTGCCAAGGGAAGTTTTAATATCCAAATTATAGTTCTGAGTCTGGAAGGCTTAGAGATCTCGGAGATTTATAGCCCCTATTAATAACCAATTATTCCTCAGACACGTTTGCTGTGCAGTTGGGCCCAGGCCGTGGCTGACCCGCGTTGCTAAATGCCCTGTGAAAGTGTGGTGACAAACATCATATATTTTGTGTCGGTGCTGGTTTCCCAGCTGTCACACTGTGAAAACAATCTCATCCGTGCTCCAGGGACCGAGCCATCCATCAGTGCCATGACGGACAYGGCGAGGGGGATTTGCTCCCCAGGGTTACAGGCTGGGATTGCTTTGGCTTGGTGGGATGTCCTGGCCATGGGATGAGGAGGGCTGGCATCCCATGTTGTTGTCGCAGCTGGTGGCAGTGGTTCCTAAAGACAGCAGGGCTTGAGAGCCCACTGGAAGCAGCCCAGCCCTGCTCTGTCATTGTGCAGGATCAGGTCTATGCTGGAACCAGGGCTCAGCCATCCTGCACCCTCCTGGACCAGCAGGGTCTGTTCCCAGGAATGTCAGATGCCGTGTCTGTGCAGTGGGAAGGGGATGTGTGGACACTGCAGGTGGACTGGCCTTTCATCTGTGATTCCTCAGTGAGCTGAGAGATCCTCCAGCCATTGAGGTGCTGTGTGAGAAGTGGCATCATGGTTGAGCAATGCACCCTGGGGCCACCCCGTGCCAGCAGCCCCTGCTGTCCAGCACCAGCCCCTCCCTCACAGGCGTGTCCCATCCCCGCTGTCCCAGCCTGCATTCCCTGGTGCTGAGCCCTGCTTCTCTCCACAGCCCTGCCTGCAGTACTGGCCCGAGCCGGGGCTGCAGCAGTAYGGCCCCATGGAGGTGGAATACATCTCGGGAGTGGCAGATGAGGACATCGTGTCCCGGCTCTTCCGAGTCCAGAACATCACACGGGTGAGCTGCTTCACACCACTTACAGAATTCCAATGTGGTTTKTGGGGGAAGGGGACTTTCAATCCGTGTTATTCCTGCCATGGGCAGGGACACCTTTCACTATCCCAGGGTGTTCCAAGCCTCATCCAGCCTGGCCTTGGATGCTTCTGTGGATCCAGGGGCAGCTAGAGCTTCTCTGGGCAGCCTGTGCCAGTGCTTGATAGCCCTTTTGGTGGAGAAATTTTCCCCTAATACCCCATCTAAAACTGCCATGATGCAGCTGGAGGCTGTTTTCTCTTTTTTCATCACTTGTTACCTGGGAGAAGAGACYRACCCCCACCTGGCTCCAGCCTCCTTTGAGGGAGYTGTGGAGAGCAATAGGACCCTCCCTGACTGCTGGGGTCTCCAGCCTAATTCAGTTCCTCCAGGGGAGGCAGCCCCAGCTCTCCTCCTGACAGAGGGGAGCCTGTGAAACTGCCATTGCTAATCCAACCTCTCTGGAATCCACAGCTCCTTGAAAGGTGTTAGAAAACCGCAGGAAGACCTTTTCCTCCTGCCTGAAGGTCCATCCCTGCCCTGCCACACACAGAGCACAGGATGGACACTCCCCACATGGGCACAGCAGCTCCCCTGACACTGGCAGAGCCYTTTCCCTGCAGGATGAGAAGATCCACCCAGATCTTTACCTGCTGTCAGTGTTGCATGGCTGGTTCAGCTTGCCTTGRAAGGAGGGAAGTGCAGGGCGGCAGGGAAGGGATGTGGACTGTGGTACATGGAAAGAAGCAGCTGATTTACCTACAAATGCCAGCCAGGAGGAGGTGGCAYCCCTGAGGTCTTTAAACTCCTGATGGTTGCCAAGAGGCTGAGGCCAGTGCCTCAGTGAAGGTCACTRGGCAGATGGGAATTAGGGAGCTTGGAAGGGAACGTGTGGCTTGGCTGATGGCCCAGCTGGGAAGGTGCTTCGGCGGGGTGGCCGAGGCCAGAGGAGATAAATCCTGATTATCTGGACTCAATGCAAAGAGGGTTTTGGGTCACGCTCCTCGAGGGAGCATCTGGCATTTCCTGGGTGTCAGCACAAAATCCTACACCAAATATGCTCAGCTCTCAGGTGGTAGAATATACTCRGGGCTAAATTAAAATGCAGCGTGATGGAAATCTCTGGATCTACGAGGAGATTCCTCCAGGGAGCAGATTGYTGGAGCAAGGTTTATAAATGCATGGAGCCACATTGTGCCAAGCCTTGCTAGAGTGGAGATGGGCTGGGGGTGTCACAAGTGCTCCAGAGCTTTCAGCTCAGCTTCCAAACTTTCCTTCCTGGGCTGTCAAAGGAGTCTTCTTCCATTTTAACTCCACTTATTTGTTTCCYTCCTTCCTCTGCCTTCATGACTTCCACCTGGAAGCAAGAACTGGAGCCTGGGGTGGTCAGCCTATCACAGGCACATCAACAGCTCACATCAGAGTTCACAGAAAGGTTCGGAAAAGCCCCTGTTTGGGGTGTGCAGGTTGGAGTGGGCACCAAATGTCCCCAGCTCCATGTCCCCAGGARTACCAAATCCCCCACAGGAATAGCTGGTCCTGCTGAGTGGGGAAGGTCTGGAGCTCATCCTACTCATCAGCCACTTGAAACTGGGTGGATGGGGCCCTCCAGAGCTGGGTAGCCTCTGCCATTTGTGCCTGACCCCTTTCTCCTCCACATGCTGTGAGCCCCTGCCTGTGTCTGGAGAGGGTGACCATGGTCTCGTCCCATCCCATATTCGGGATGCTCTGAGTGCTCCTGARCGAGAGCCCCACAACTGCCTGGCTAAAGCCTGCTCAGCTCCGTGGCTGTAATCCTCCTCCTGGATCCAGCTAACCAGATTAGCTTTCCAAACTAACCAGATTACCAGGTATTAAGCTCCCGCCTCCGTGGCAGCTTCTCAGCAGCCTCATGGTTTACAGCAAGCACGACAGAACCRCATCCCATGGATCTTTGGCATGCAGAGAGAAGGATGTGATGGAGAAGCCTTGGAGAGGCTCAGGGGCCTGGGAACAGGTTATAGGGGATGCAGAGACAACCCAAGATGCTGTGGGGTCAGATAAACAACATCAGTGGAGCTTCTCCCAGGCAGAATGGGGTGGTGGAACCAGAGTGAGCTGGAGGAGGCGCCTGAACCATCCATCTTAAAGCACCAGGAAAGGGTTTTCCTCTCTTCCTCTACGGTCCTTGCGTGGCAAACCTCTCCTGCCCTCTGGCAGACCTCCAGTGAAGACAAATGAGGGCAGCCCATGGGTTCCAGCTGATGGGTTTTGCTTTTCCAGTTGCAGGAGGGGCACCTGATGGTCCGGCATTTCCAGTACCTGCGCTGGTCGGCCTATCGAGACACCCCAGACTCCAAAAAGTCCTTCCTGCACCTCCTGGCRCAGGTGGAGAGGTGGCAGAAGGAAAGCGGTGATGGCAGGACGGTGGTGCACTGCCTGTGAGTGTCAGCTGGGGAGAGGGATCTGCTGGGGGACGTTCCATGAGCACAGCTCTGCCTGGAAATGCTCTGCACAGCCCTCGCTGTCCCCAGATGGGGCTGCCTCTGCCACAGGAACGGAGTGTGAGGCACCCTGTGGTCACCCTGTCAAACCTCCTCCATGAGATGAGTTCTCAGCAGGAGTGGCCCCAACCTGTGCCACTYCCACCACTTGCTGGTCATCACGGGGGGATGGAGAATTATGGAATGGTTTGGCTAGGAAGGGACCTTAAAGCTCATTGCAGTGGGCAGGGACACCTTGTGCTAGATGTGCCCCAAGCCCTGTCCAAGCTGGAGATGGTTCCATTTCCTCCTCCCGGTGGGATTGGCTCACAAACAYYGTGTGRACTCCCCTCGGGTGGGACCCGGCAYGTGCACAGATGGGGAGAGACAGCAGGCAAGCCTTTAATCAAAAACTAATTACAGCCTTGTCCATCTTCGTTAGCTGAAGGGTAATTGGAGAACATGCTTTATAAAGCTCTGGCATCGTGTTCTCTTCTCTCCCTGTTCCTGTTGCTGCCAGGATCAGGTGTGGTGGTGTGGGAACAAGGCTTCAGCCAGGAATTGGGGAGATTCCCAGTGCTCTGGTGGGATGTGGCATGGTTCCTGCAGGCAGCAGCACCAGCCCAGGGTCACCCTACGCAGGGCAGGAGTGACACAGCAGCACCAGCCCAGGGTCACCCTATGCAGGGCAGGAGTGACACAGCAGCACCAGCCCAGGGTCACCCTATGCAGGGCAGGAGTGACACAGCAGCCTCCCCAAGGTCACACGAGGATCTGATCCAATGCAGGGCTGGAAGCTGAACCCAAATGTCCAGGATCAGCCTTGGTGGTCCAAAAAGGTGTTTTCATGCTCTTGTGAGGGCTGGAGGGCAGAATCATTGTTCTGCCACCCCATGGGGCAGGTTCAGGTCCCCAAGTTTGGGTATGAGYCCCTGCTCTGGGACATCCCCTGGGATGCAGGGTCAGATAGAGAAGACCATCTGTCCTTAAAGGGAGCAGGAAGGAGCTCTGACACCACCTTCTCAGCCCTGACATGAGTTGTTTCTCCCACCAGGAACGGAGGTGGCCGSAGCGGCACCTTCTGTGCCTCCACCATGATCCTGGAGATGATCAAGTGTCACAACATGGCAGATGTTTTCTTCGCTGCTAAGACCCTCCGCAACTACAAACCAAATATGGTGGAGACCTTGGTAAGCACCAGACCCTCCCTGTCCGCCCTGGCTGCTGGTCCTGGCATGGAAGAGAGGTGCTGGGGGTGCTCACCTCCCAAACATCACCTTTTCCACCCCAGATCCTCATGAGCATTGTGGGCATCCTCACGCCAGCACCGTGCTGGGATGGGGCAGGGAAGTAATGCAGCTCCTCAAAGCAGCCTTGGGCATGTTTTCATCCTGCCATGCCAGCATGACCTCCGAGTCAGTGCTGGGGTTGATGGAAATCCTCCCTAGGAGTCATAAGGCAGGTTCACATTAACTCACAGGGTGGTTCTTTGGAAGGTTTGTGTTGTTGGGAGCAGCTCTGAKGTGGAATCAGATAAAATCCTGTTGGAAATATAAAAGGGAATGAGCATTTGGAGTGAAATGAATGGGTGCTGCTGGGAGTGATGTGTCCTGAGGAGGAAGCTGGAGCTGGCAGCAGGTCAGGGCAAAAAGCCCCTGCCCTAATTCAGGCCCTCGATGATGGAACAGGGGGTGGAGCAGCCACGTGTCCATCCCTGTGGTGGAGGGATCCAGGTGTCTCATGATATTTTAAAAGCAAGTCAGCTGGAAATGTTTACTCTGTTTGGATTATAAAATCCCTAAGTTGCAAAATGAAATGGTTTTGAGGAGGGGATGTGATTTGCATTAGGAATTAAAAGTGGAGGAGAAGGTGAGGGAGGGGAGAGGGAAGCAGGGGGAGGGAAGCAGATAATGGAAAGATGATGTGACAAGCATGAAGCCACAAGACCCATTGGGCTAAATTGCRAAGGTATTAAAAAAAGGCAACATTTCCCATCAGGACACGAGCATCCTCCCGCCTCAAATGAACCTGAACCAGCTATTCTGGGAACCTCAATCTCCCAGAGTCACCGGGAGGCCGGATCCGTGCCTGGTGTAAGGAGCTCAACCCAGCAGAGAGCCCTTCCCACTGCCTGTGCCTCTTCCCCCTCCGTTTGCCCCGGGGGTTATTTTTATATGATGATGAATGGAAACAATCCCTTTCCTTAATCCAAAAAGCATTATGTGCTTTTAATCTGGGCTGTCACAGCCTCCTCGCTTTGAAGTCCCTTCTCCCCCTCTGCCCACCTGGGATCCCAGAGCCGCCCACCCGTGTGGGATAACAGGTTTTTCATGTGGTGCTCAGGCTCCAATCCCCATCCTGCAGCTGGGATTTGGGGAGATGAGCTCTCCCCTCTCCTTCCCTGCTGTCCCAGAGCTCTCCCACCTGATGTCCCAGTGCTTGTAGCAGCACCAAAATCCTGATTTATTTGGGGTTTTCCCCGCAGTCTGGCTGATWTTGCTCGTTGAAGCAGCATCTCACGGGGTGAGCAGTGCCACGGGTGAAGCTCTCCTGTGGTGTTTGTACTGTGAGTTGAACGAGGGTGGGAGAGCAGGGACAGGTCCTGGGAAGGGATGGATGGATCCAGGGATGGATGAKTCTGCCTTCACAAGTCCCAGGTCAGGGATTTCCATTACAAAACCAGGAGTCAGCCACTCTGGGCCTTCCCTTTGGGCAGCTGAGGGGGCCTGAAGGGTGGGAGGACGCTGACATGGATGTCTCAGGAAGAGRTGGGAGAATGAGCCTGGTCCTGCTGGACAAGAGAGTTTGTACTGAAGGAGTACTGAAGGAGTGTCCTGGCAGCCAGGGCAGGGCATCTCCATCCCTTCAGACCATGGATACCACGTCTGGGTGCTCTCCCCCTTTCCAGCCTCTGCTGAACTCAGAAACAAAAACTCCTCCATTTCCTGCCCAAGGTTTTATTTTGGATGTCTCTGACCCCAGAGTGTTCCCCTGGCTCTGCTGCCATCTGATTGGCACCTGTCAGTCACTGAGGTGATGAGGCTCTGAACCCCCAGTGCTGGGTGTGTACCAGGGGTGCTGAATAAAGGTATTTTCTGAGTAAGGGGGTGTTGCAGGTGGAGGTGCCTGGATTTCAGCATGTGTGGTTGGATCTGGGCACCATCCCCTGCCCCAGCAGTGACTGTTGTTTGCCCAGAGTGTGGTTTTTCCTGGCTGTGGCCTCAGCAGGACTGTCACAGGCCGGGAGAGGCTGGCAGGTGTTTCCTTAGGGCTGCTGACGTGTTTCCCTCAAACAGGGACTGCTTTCTCTCAGGAGTATAACGTGATAACGTGCCTGTTCTCTCCCTGCACAGGAGCAGTACCATTTCTGCTAYGACATTGCACTGGAATACCTGGAGTCCCTGGAGAGCAGATAGCACCTGGCCACGCCAGGGGCTGGTGCAGGGGCCGTGCTGCCACCGGGACATGGGGAGGGAAACGGCCACGGAGCCACAGGGAAACCCTTYGGATCCAGGAAACGACAGGACCTGGGGATGTGTTGGCCACTCTCCATCTTCATCCTCCACTCTCCCTCTTTCCTCCCTGCCCTGGCTGTGTCTGAGTGGCCACGTGTGGATCCCACAGCTCATCCTGCTCCTTGGAATCCTGTGCAGGGTGTGACCCTGCGCTGCTGGTGGGGTTCTGAAACAGCTGCAGAGGAGCCAGAGGGGCCGAGGCTGTGTCCCAGCAGGGCAGGATGGATCCTGGAGGTGTYGTTCTTTTGTGTGTGGAATTGAAGCTGCTCCTCGAGGAACCTGGAGGCTGCCGGAGGCTTTCCCTCGGTGTGACTTGCTCTGAGCCGGAGCAAAGACCCCCAGGAGCACTTGAGTTTCTGCCCCTTCACGCCATGAGTTTGATCCTGGCTTGTTTTGGTTCTGTGAGTTGTGACCCACTRTGTGTCCAGCCCTGGACAGCCAGGGAGGGGGGAGGGCAGGGGTGGGGGGCACTGGCCATGCAATGTCCCTTTGCAGGGACCAACCCAAACCCTCCTGGTGCTTCTGCAGAGCTTTTGAGGGGATGGTTCCCCAGCATCTCCATSCCTCCTTCTCCATCTGAAGCAGTGAATTCCTCCTGATGTCCCAAAGGCACCGGTCCTTGGGTTTGTTTTTAACCCTTYCCTTGTGCATCACTGCATTTGAAGSAAAATTCTCAAAATTTGGGTCCAKGGCAGATACTTCCTGGATGCTGCCCCCGGGCAGTTGATTCTCTTGGCTTTTGCTGGGCCTGGTGGGGCAGGAGGGTTGGTTTGGGGTGGTGTTGGTTGGGGCTGAGCTGTGCCAGGGCCTTGGCCATGTGCTGGGGCTGGACAGGCAAGGTCCCACACTCCTGTGCCACCAGGGCTGCCCRCTGCAGGTACCTGATGCTTTTTAGCTCCATCCTGCTGCAGGTGGGTGTGAAATGGCACTTTTTCCATCTGATGTTATGGTAATTRACAGGGATTCTGCTCTCAGCCTGGTTGTAATAAAGTAAATAGCCTTGGGMAGGTTCAGCCAGAGGGATCCAGGTATGGGTGTTCCAGCACCATCCCAGACCTTGGCTCTCTCACCTGCTCCCTGAGGAATTCACAGCCTGACAAGAACTTATTCCAAGGGCTATTTGACATCATTCCTTCTCTCCATCCCTGCCCTGTGCCCATTCTGCCTCATCACCAAAAGGTCCTTTTTCCCCAGAATGGTCCAGTTACACCAGTACCTGGTTACACCAGTACTCCCATCAAAAGCCATGACTTGGGATAAATGAGTGTCCTTTCCCAGTGCCCGTTTCTCYATAGATGTCTGTGCTGTCCTGGGGAAGGTGCTGCGGGTGGCTGCTGAGAGATGCAGAAATTGTTTTGTTTTGTATGAAAATGGCTGAGCTGAGCCTGTGAAATCCCTGGGAATGGCATGGTTTGGGGGCTCTCCAGCCCTGGGTGCTGCTGCCTGGGCCACCCCCATCCTTCCTGCAGTCCCGAGGGAGRGAGCGTCCCACAGAGCTCCCCAGGTACAGCATTGCCAGAAAGAGGAGAAGGAGGAAAACTGGAACTCCATTTAGTCCTGCAGAGACAACAGAGACTGGAGGAGTTGTATATATGTTTTAAAATCAAGATTTTTTTCCTTTTTATTTTATTTTGATAYCTCCTTGCTGGGTGTCTCTGGGTTTTTTAGGGCATCTCTGGTGAAGGACAGATTTTGAAATCCAATGCTATGAATCCCAATCCATCCCCAACTCCTACTGAGATGCTCCTCTGACACGAGGCAAGGACATCCTGTACATAGAAATATAAATATAGAAATCTATATATAAAAATATAAATACTGTTCTTAAGATGAATAATGTTTATTGGTATTACAGATTGGAGTGGTGCTTTTTTTTTTTTTTTTAATAAAAATAAAACAACAAAAAAAAAAGGAAAAAAAATAAAACCCAAGAAAAANAAAACAACCAAAAAAAAAGGAAAAAAAATAAAACCCAAGAAAAACACCAAATTGGAACAGTTTTGTCTATATGCAGAAAAACTGATCCTAAAAGCTGGCAGCATCCAAGAGCTGCTGCCTGAGGGATTTGGGACCATGAGGCAGCTCCACCAGGAAGGAGGWTGGAGCAGTGGGAGGGACATGTCTGATGTGGATCGTACCACGCACATCCAGCTGTTGTTAACTGTTTTTTTATTATTTTGTTATGATATTATTATTTTTGGCTTTCTTTCCTTTTAAGAAAATCAGTTGCATAAATAAATGTTCCAAATTTATGATGGCCTCTGACGTTCTTTGCTGGCTCTGAGCTGGGAGCTGTGATGTGGGGAGCCCTGAAGAAGCATCTCTCTCAGCCGTATCTTTTAAAAGATATTTAACCTTTTAAAGGGTATTTTGGGGAGTAGATTTGCAGGGTCAGATTCCTACAAAGCCTTCATGGCCCAGAGGAGATGGGGTTGCTTTGCTGTTGGTGTCCTCCTGGAGATCCTGGACTGGGCAGGGTTTCCTGGCCACCCTCAGCTTCTGATGGAGTTTCCCYATTGCTGGAAAAGGAGTCTCAGAGCATTTCCCAGCTTGAAAATGAAATCCTGTTGGAAGAAGAGCCTTCAGGAAAAGTTCCTGCATTGTCTTCAGTGATTTATTTATGAAGAAGCAGCCTTCAGATAAATGTGTTGTGATATGAAACACTTCCAGTAACACTTGAGTCTTCATTTAATGGAGACTAAGGAAAAAAATCTAATTGACTTGTCAGGATTGTTTTTCATTTTTAATTAAGACTTGTGAAGGAAGAAGTAATTACACTTTACCAATAAATAATGAAAAGGGGGATAATGCAAATTCAAAGCGAGTCCTGCCCTTGGGAAGGGCTCTGGGTGTGTGGGGTCAGCCCTGGCAGGGGGCTGTGTCCCCTGTGTCCCCTGTGTCCCCAGGGCTGTCCTGGAGGGCTCAGGCTGCTCTGAAGAGAGACAGCAGCTGCTCCCACCAGACGCTGTCAACTGTGGCTCGTTCAGGTAAAAAAGGGAGCAGTTCTGGTGGGACAAGGCTGGTGGCCACTGGGTTTGGTGGCCCTTGGGCATGCTGGGAGCTCGGGGAGGGGGGTGGCATCACTGTCCTTCCTCACTTCATCCCTGCAACTTCTGGAAGAGGCRTGGACAGCCCAGAGAGCCAACAGGGTTTTGAAGCCAGGACAGGAGAAGCAGTCCAGGTGCTCATCCTGTGGAAATGTCCTGAGATGTCCCTCTGTCCCACCTCTGATTCCGCAGCCCGTCCTGGTGAGTGACCTGTGGGGGCAGCTGGGGTGGGATGGAAGTGGAGCCCTTTCCCTGCTCTGCAGAGCCAGGAGAGCTGGGATGGGATGGGATGGGATGGGATGGGATGGGATGGGATGGGATGGGATGGGATGGGATGGGATGGGATGATGGGATGGGATGGGATGGGATCCCTTTCCCTGCTCTGTAGAGCCAGGAGAGCTGGGATGGGATGGAGGCAGAGGCCTTTCCTGCTGGGCAGAGCCAGGAGAGCTTGGCAGGGTTGGCTGGAGGCGCTGGGGTCCTGCTGCTGCTCTGCCAACCTGGACGGATCAGAGCCGCTCCAAGGGAGCTCTTTGCATTTCAATAAMGGCTCCAAATAGGTGTCCAATGCCCAGCTCCCGGCTCTGGGGGATTGCCTGCCAGCTCCACGCCTCCTTTGTACTGTTATCTGCAGCACACACGCCCTGGCAGAGCTGGTGATAATTTCCCTAAGCCAATGTCATGGTATTGTTGGAGGTGACCTGGATATTCTCATTCCATCCACAGGCTGGGTCCCTAATCCTGCTGCCAGCCGGGGTGTGTTGGGGAGCCCAGCTCCAGCTCTGGCGGGTGTCAGCAGTGCCATGGAGGTGGCAGGTGGGGATCCTTGTCCTGGGGGGAGCAGTGTTCCTGGTGGATGTCCAGCTTTGTCCTCCCCAGCCCCACCAAGGCCATCCTGCCCCTGGAGAGCCACAGCCCCAGAACACTTTCAGGACAGGGCGAGTGTGCTGGTAATGTGCCTGATCTCACCCACCCAAGGCAGTCACAGCAATCGTGGGCAGGRATTGCCTTTCCTCTTCTCCCTCAGTGCTTCAGGGGAAGCTCCCCAGCGTGGGGGTCCCATCTGGAGCACCCACCCCTGTCCCTCCCAGCAGCTCCCGGCACTCCAGCCCTCTGAGGTTTTGGCTTGCTCCTTTTGATGTGGCATTTGGACGCTCCCCTGAGCGAAAGGGCAGAGCACAGGCAGGGCTGGGGGAGGGCGTGTTAAACCCTCCTGATTAACCTTGGCCAATAAATTCATTAAAACGAAACCTAAATTCAATTAGCTCCAGTGGCCCATTTATCACCTGGGATGTCTCTACGAGGCCAAGAGCTGCCATGGCTTAGGCTGGGCTCATCCTCTCCCTCCCTTCTCTGATCCCTGTCCTGCAGAGACCCTGCTGAGCCTCCACGCTGCCTATGCCTGCCTGATGAGGTGGAATGGGGACAAACCTGTGCCACTCTTGTTCCCGGGCCCCCCGTTCATGCTCACGTGGTTTATGTTCCGGGCACAGGTATGGAGAGGGATGGCTCAATGGGGTCACCTTGTGGGGTGACTTTGCTCCCATGGACAGCCTGGCTCTGCAGGGATGGGCACGGGGAGCAGAGGCTGGAGAGCCCCGTCCAGGGATGTGCCCACCTCCCTGTGCCATGATCCGGTGGCACAGACACCACGCTTTTCCAGAGATTCCCATCTCTCCAGTACTGCAAGTGCTGTRGGATAATTTATTTAAGTAGCCTTAACTGGGCTGTAATCTCTATGCTGCTCATGTTACCYCTAAATGCTCCATCCAAAGGCTCAATGGGAAGAATTTGTATTTTGAAATAAATATTTTCTCACTGTGTGCAAAATATCTAATCATGTATTTATCCTTAAGTACTTTCAAAAGTCAACATAATTATTCCAGTCCCATTAAGTTTAATTTGCTGTAAATTATGCATTTAGCTTTAAGCTGAGGTTGTTGGTTAGAGTCAAGATAAAGCTCTTGCTATTCATAAAGCAGTATTCCAGCACAGATACAAAACACAAATGCTTGGACAAGAAAATCCTGCTTGAGAAGTTTGGGGAGAATTTAAAATAGGGAGGTTAACAAAAATATCTGTAGAGTGAGTGTTTAATCACAGATGTGTGAGTGCAGTCAGTCAACTAAAATGAGCTCCCAAACAGCTTCTGRAGGCCTGGCCTGCTGAAAGAGTTTTCCTCTAGCTAAAAAATTTGATACTTTTTTCAGGACACGGTTTTGAAAAACAAATTAATCATTTAACTTTCCTCTTAGTGTYGTATCTTTGAGGTTCACGGGGCAGGGAAGGTGTTCCCACTGGAAGAGCTGGAACAGCTTTTACCTGTGATTTATCTGTGGTCTCAGGCGTCTCTCTGATGGCAGCGACGGCTGCACAGTTGGCCCGTCTGTGTCAATGTTCTGCATCCAGGTCTCCATGTGCCAGACCCTCAGCATTTCAGGGTCAGTGGCCAAGTGATGTTTTTATGTCCAGTCCCAGGAGGTGAAGAAAGTGGTGGGAGAAGCCCAATCCCAAAGAAACGGCGCTGGTGGAGCCAGAGGATTGAGCGATTTCCTGTCTGCTGSTGGGCTGGAGGATGGTCCCTCAGGTAAGACAGGAGTTTGTCAGTGGTTCTTGGTGCACCTTCAGGAGATCGCTCAGTGCTTCACCTCTYCCTTCCTGACCCCAGCACAGCTTTATCTGGGCTGCAGTCCTGGGGCTGTTCCTGGTGAAGGGCTGAGGGCAGCCCCTGTGCAGGGCAGAGCATCTCCCTTCACTCACTGTCACCCTGGGGACAGTGACACTGTGTCCCCTGCCCTGCCCCAGCCCTCCATCCATCCATCCATCCATCCATCCATCCATCCATCCATCCATCCATCCATCCATCCATCCATCCATCCATCCATCCCCCCACCGATGCTCCACCTCAGGATGCTACACAGAACCAGGGCCAGGTGGAGGCTGAGGGAAGCAGAGAGGAAATGCTGCATTCAAGACCATGAAACCCCCAGGAGTTCCACACTGARGGTTGCAGGTGATCTCCAGACCAGGTCAGGTCAGGCTGCTGGGCAGTGCCAAGGTACGAACTTCCCATTAAATTATGTTCCCCATTTCGCTT